GCGCGCGCGTGCAAGGGCGAGATCCGGGCTGGCAGCCAAACTCGAGGTCCGACGAAAGAGACTATCGTGCGGTGTATACACGCGTACATATGCTTGGCTTATGGGCCTTGGAATTACTTCGTGGAAGCCCGGAGAGTCGGAGTGGGCGTGAGCGCGCTTGGGCGTCCCGAAGCCCGAGCTCTGAGCTGCGAAGTTGTACCGGCCCACGACGGAAACAAGGACGACCATAACTCGGGCGCGTTTCAGCTTATCCTCGCTCACCTGGACGGGCACTTCACCAACTCCTGTACGGCGAAGTCGCCCCGTAGATGATCGTCTCGTTTGATCGTGGAGTTCTTAAACTGGAAGAAGAGCAAGAAGGCGAGAAAGAACTTGGCACGTTTCAGCTTGGCTTTCCCGTACTGGGCTTCGTACAGCGTCTAGGGTCTGTTCTGGCCCGCATTCGACCTGCCGTATACCCAGTATGTCCTATCTATACGCGCCAGAAGTCCAAAAAGAAGGCTGACATCGTTGAACAGCTATGCAGGTCCCATCAGGAAAGAACTCTGGCCGTGCCTACTCAGTACGACGTAGGTCGTACAGGTTCTATGGGAGATCCGCGTAACCTGCGCATATTATCTCATAGCACAGGAGAAAAGGCTGCGGCTTATTGAACAGCGATGTGAATGCGAAGAAGCTGACTGTATGGGCCGGTTCGCTGCGAGATAATCGAGTACCACGCCAGTATGCGCTGTGCGACCCCTACAGGCTGGCTCTGGCCTTTCACTATTCCCGCATTGCTCACGGATCTGCTCTCATGACGAAGGAAATGTTTCGACGACTCAACCAAACGACATCGTCTGTTTCGAGATGGCACGATAGGTGAGCAAACATAGGTGAGCAAACTTCTCTTCTTGCTAAAGCTCGCCTTGTCCTCCGTATGTCCAGCACTCCGCAGATGCCATGTGTCGGCTATACAAGCTCGAAGCTCTATGAGGAAAAGCGCGTGACTGCTCGGCTACATCTGATGGGCGCTTAGTGCAAGTCAGGCGCAGCCTCCACGGGCGAACAATGGTCGCCAGAATGCTCTGTAACGTACGGCTACTTCAGTCTTTACTGGAGGAGATCTGCATTATGTGGAAAGGGCTGATTATATCCTCTGGTACTGTATGAGGTATCGGCAAACCCCCATGTGGGCGTGGCCTCTCTGATACTACGTTCATGCATGCTTAGGCCTCCAGGGCGCGTTCTTGAGCCCCATGTGTAGCATACGGTCGATCCAGCGCGCTCACCAGACCATGTCGCCCGACCTACCGCAATCCGCGTTCTTTCTAACCCATGACGACGGGTGCTGCCTGTGTTCGGTGCGTATAGCAGCGCCCGGAACACTTGACCCTAGGCGTTCTGCCCCAGCGGGCGTATGCATATAGCGACGGCGATTCACCTCCGGCATGGTCTTCTGTTCGTCTTCCCGAGCACTGACGCAGCTTGTACGTATAACGCCGTTGTATCCAGCCGCGTCGCTCTAACATCTCCGACTTTTCTGTGCTCACAGGCTAAGGCCAGATGACCCGCGAACCAGCTCACGCCCCGTCAAGGGCCTGATATGGCCGCACGGTAGCCATGCAATCTGACGTCGGGTTACTACATCCCAATGTACTAGAAGCATTGCGCTGGTTTCTGGCACACGACGAGGGTGTTGAGTATATTCCTTATGCAGATACTTCGCGAGACAAATGACCATACACTGTGTAGAGTCACCACTGCCAATTCTGCGTATGGGTCAACGTGCTCATGAGCGCGTTCTGACGTCGTCGGGCGCATGCCTTGCACTACTGCGCAAGATGTGTGTTTATTACCCCATATGCTCTGACTCTTCCTTGCTCGATCAGCGACCCCGACTACTGTATGCTTCCAGACCTAGCGCGCTGCTCACGAGTCTTCTTTTGATACGTCGTCATATGCCCGATCTGTACGTACAGTATGGTGTGCCTCAAGGGATTCCCATCGCCAATGTCTATCCGCGAAGCCGCTGACGTCGTCATACGACCACTGCTATATCGGAACGGTGCCATTGACTTGTATGCGTTGCTTAGATAGAAGGTCTTTCCGCCTATTTCCCGACTTCCGGGCGCCTCGATTATATGCGTTTGCGAGCACCGAGTACAGGACTAGGAGCTACGCTAACCATAAGGGAGGGTTTCACGCTATATTCTGTCGTTGCGCATGATCTTGATTCGTCTCGGAATTTGCCAACTTGGGCTTCCGTCCGGATTGTGTGCTTGTGAAGCTGGAGCTGGTATTACGCTCGTGCCGGCGTAGCATTGGGCCACACTATTGAAGTACTGACGCTCGATGCACTTAGTCCTGCTGTGAGACTCTGTCAATGATGACCCCAACGACCACGCCCACTAACGCGTTTATCTTGAGAACCACCAGGTAGCGATGTCAACTCAGATGTGATACACAATAAGGATGCAAAGTCTCGAGTATACTCTTACCCTTCGACTAATCACGTCCCAGGACAGTGCCTCTCCAGGTACTTACTGGAGCGCGTGGCATGCCACGAGACCCGCCGTGTTGCGTCTATACTCATACCCACCCTTCCTCTCAAGCCCAAACCGGCGGCCGACGCGGCTAATCGTGTTCGACGGGTGAGGGTACCTGACATCATGCATCAAGGGCAGCGCTTCGAACCGTAGGACGAGAAACCGTTTAGTGCGGGGAAGAACGACAGACGAGGTAGGATATGTTCCAGAGCATCACAGAACATGTCATCTGTACCAGACAGAGACCGCTTACCAACAAGTACTAGCTCTCTACTCGCTAGCCTGACGAAGGCCTAGGTGGGTCGTTCCGAAGTCGTCACGATGTTCCTCTCAGTCGCACTCGTGTCGAGGTCATTTCGGATTCCCATGGCAGGCCAGTGTGGTAGCCGTGCCAGACTCAATACGCACTCTGATTGCACTTCACATCCTGAGGAGCTTCAGCTACGCATATTTCTGTGTGAAGAACGATGTAGCGGTATGGACTCAGTCTCCTGCCTCGATCTCGCCGCTTTCTGTCTCCCACATTCACTCTAGTATGTGTCGGTTATGTATGAGAGATTTATATCCTTTGTGGCAGCCAAATCAGGCAGTGGACTGGCAAGAAGCATGATCTCCTGGCATGACTTGTCAAGATATAATATACCGTGGCCCTCGGGCGTCACAGACTTTATAATCTTGCAGGATTGGACATGTACTGAGGACCAATAACGTCGAGTGGCAAGCAGCATCAAGGTTGCATGCAGTCGGCTATATCTTTCTAGGCTCGCATATGAGCTTTCGTTGCAAAGTTTGTCCGAGCTGTGTTGGATGTTATCTTGGGATCGCGAATAGATGTGGTGACCATTGAGGTGAGCTAGTGGTGGATGAGTGAAAACAAGCCGGGGCGCCATTCGGTCGCGCGCGCGGCACGCGGCGCGCGCCCGCGACATCTTGCCGGTCATCCACCACCTACACCGGTGTCAGGCTCAATATTTCATCCGATCTCCACCAACCGTATCCTGATTTATATAGGGAGATGCATCAAACGCGCTCCTCTACTGTATGACAAGGCTTCATCATGCCTTCATGCCGTCCGGAAGCTCAACGAGTACTCGTTCGTCTGTTTGCAGCCCAGACCGCCGGGTGAGTTCGCAGGCGATTTTGAACGAAGCCGGATAGTCACGACTGTCTACATACTCGTCCCGACAAGCACATTTAACCCACATCACGAGGCTGCGCACTAGATCAAAGGATCCAGTACGTTACCCATTCAGCGATGAATCATATTGTGCGCTTCTCGATGGGATCCATGTCATCACGCGGGACTTTCTAGGGACAGTATAACTGCTGCTAGGTCGCAGAACTATTGAGCGCATCATGGGAACGAGATCATGAACACCTGTTCGACACGAAGGCAGGGCTCGTGCCATGCAACCCTGCTCGTCGCAGCAACGAACAATGCAATGCACAGAACAACGGGAAGCTAGCTCCGATAACTTGAAAGCTCACCAGTTGGGCAGGGTCGGTCGCAGCATCGCCTTTTTGATCCGATTCAATCGTTGTTGTGACTGAAGTGGGCTGAGGGTGAAGTGGGTAGGCACAAGACTAGATTGGGTGGGCTGTGCTCAACCTGCGGTTCGAAAGATCGACGTCCACTGAGCGCTGAAGCCTCTCAACTTGATCAGGTAGCCACGGTCGCCAGCGCTTCCCTCCGACGTATTCTGTCAATGGACCGTCATCCCTGGATTATCAGTGTCATGGCAGGGCGGTCCTGTAGCTTGACCAGGTGGTCACGATCTCTTCCGGATGCACTCAAATGCTGTCGATGTTTGGAGCTGTGCTGCGCGGCGTGCTTCAGGTACATGACCCCATACGGACTGCAATTCCCTTCTGAGATCATTCCAACGACTGGACCCGAAATATCTGATTCTTGATTGTGCAAGGAACGTATCGAAACAGGCATACCACTGAGCGCTCTCTCGGTTTCGAATATTTGGCAATGGTGTCTGCCTCGGTCTGCAGACAATATGACATTTGCGGTGGCCTGAACTCCGCAGTATACGATCGGCGTGACGGCGCAATTATAATCCTCCCGGAAAGCGTGCTTGTGATGTTTGATGGCCGGAGTGGGTTGTTTTTAGAACACTCATGCCAGTGACGACCAGGGATGGATCCGAGGAACGCACCGCACAGCAGTATTGATCAAGAGCAGACGTTTGATGTAGTCGAGCACGTTCACTCGCGGTGGCATCATACTCAGGTCCCCTTTAGCACGGCTGAGAGTATATATACTCTGGTGCTCAATACCTGCATCTCCAGCTTGCTCACTCATCCTTTCTCTCAGGTGCTGGTAACCTTGAGCCCTCTCTCTTACGCCTTTCCTCTCTTTCTTTCGGGTCTCCTTCACTTTCCCAGTCGCATTCGCTGTCCACGTCTATTCTCGCTCTTACGAACACTCTACGTCTTTTGCTCGTTCACTTCTATCCCACAACAATGTTCTCCAAGGTTGCCATCGTTGCTCTCGCCGCCGGCGCTCAAGTTTCGTTCGCCGTACCCCTTACCCAGGAACAACGCTCTCTTAAGGCCGTCGGTACGGCTCTTGTCGGCGGCGCTGCTTCTCTGATCACCGGAGAGATCCTCAACAACAAGTACGTATGCAACAGGGTATGCAGGTAAGGTCAAATACTCACATATGCTGTTAGGCGCTCGGAGTCGGGTGTTATGGTCGATACCCAAACTGGTACGATCTACGCCGACATCCCCGATACCAAGGACACACGCTCGCTCAAGGCTGTTGGAACGGCTATCGCTGGTGGCATTGCTTCAGGCGTGGCCGGTGCCGCAGTCAAGAGCGTTCTCGACAACCGCTCTTTGTCGGCCATCGAGAACTTCTTCAAGAACCTCAAACGTGACGAAGGTCTCCAGGCGCGCTCGCTCTCTGCCATCGAGAACTTCTTCAGCAACTTGAAGCGTGAGGAGCCGGAGGCACGCTCTCTCTCAGCGATCGAGAACTTCTTCAAGAATCTCAAGCGCGACGGTGATCTTGATGCGCGCTCGCTCTCCGCCATTGAGAACTTCCTCAGCAACTTGAAGTACGTTTGCCTCGTCTTCTTCTACCTGACTCCAGTACTGATTGAGTAGACGCTCCGAGACTTCTGGTCTCCTAGTCGACACCGAGACGGGTACCCTTTACATGGATGTTCCCGATGCAGTCGAGAGTAGGTCGCTCAAGGCCATCGGGACTGCCGTAGCGGGCGGTATCGCGTCTGGCGTCGCTGGTGCCGTGGTCAAGGACGTCCTCGGAAACAACAAGCGCTCCGGGCTCTCTGGTCTGATGGTCGACACGGAGACCGGCACAATCTATGCGGACATTCCCGACGCAAACGAAGGCCGCTCGCTCAAGGCCGTTGGGACTGCCATTGCTGGTGGCATTGCATCCGGTGTAGCCGGTGCTGTTGCTAGCGATGTTCTCGGGCGGTCTGAGCCCTCGGGTCTCATGGTCGACACTGATACCGGCATCATCTATGCTGACGTTCCCGATGCAAACGAGGGCCGCTCTCTCAAGGCCATCGGCACCGCGGTTGCTGGGGGCATTGCGTCTGGCGTCGCTGGTGCTGTCGCGAAGGACGTCTTCGGCAACAACAAACGTGCGGTACCCTCTGGGCTTATGGTCGACACCGATACCGGCGTGCTGTACATGGATGTTCCCGACGCGAACGAGGGCCGCTCGCTCAAGGCTGTCGGTACCGCTCTTGCTGGCGCTGCTGCTTCATACGTCACTGGCCAGATCCTCAATAACAAGTAAGCACACATTCACAATTTCCTCCACAGCTCAGCCGCTTACCAGAGTCCCAGGCGTGATTCTGGCCTCATGGTCGACACTGACACCGGTGTTATCTACATGGATGTTCCTGACGCCAACGAGGACCGCTCGCTGTCAGCCATCGAGAACTTCCTCAGCAACTTGAAGCGCGACGAGAACGAAGCCCGCTCCTTGTCCGCGATCGAGAACTTCTTCAAGAACCTCAAGCGCGAGGAGCCCGAAGCCCGTTCGCTCTCGGCGATTGAGAACTTCTTCAAGAACTTGAAGCGCTCGGACGACCTCGACGCTCGCTCGCTCTCGGCGATCGAGAACTTCCTCAGCAACTTAAAGCGCGAGGAGCCGCAGACCCGTTCTCTCTCGGCAATCGAGAACTTCTTCAAGAACCTCAAGCGTGAAGAGCCCGAGGCGCGCACCCTCTCCGCCATCGAGAACTTCTTCAGCAACTTGAAGCGTGAGGAGCATGAGGCGCGCTCGTTGTCGGCCATCGAGAACTTCTTCAAGAACCTCAAGTACGTGCATTAGTGCATTTCAGTTTTGACATACACTCATCATCATCTGCAGGCGCTCTGACCTTGTGGAGAGCATGGCAAAGCGTGCGATTGACGATCTCGAGTAAAGGATTCATGTCTGTACAACCCCCTACTCCCCTTTTACACTCTACACTCTACACCTCCCCCTATGCGACTGGGGCTGTCGTGGCCGGCTCTGGTAGCCAGCTGCGGCAGTTTGTGGAGGATTTGATGACGGCTTCTTGAACGCGGATTTGTTTGGGCTCTTGGTTTTTTGTATCAGTAGTCATGACACGGATGAGTGATCCCACAGCAATGCTCACTTTCTTTTGAAACCCTCTCTTCCGTGTGATTAGGACGCGAGGAACATATCGTGGCAGTGAATAGACCGGTAAGGGTTCGTCAGATGTTGTGGCACCAAGACAACCCGCGTCGGCGGCGGCCAGGCCCGTGTCGCGCGCCTTGACGATGACGGCCATCTCCCCGCGAAACTTGAGAAGGCATCAATATAATATGACCTTGTCCTCAGCACCCATCTGATTCCCTTCAATCTTCACTACCGCCGCTTCACCCTCTAGTTTCGCACTGTGCGGCACGCGGTATGGATAACTGGCAAGGGAGCCTGCATAGCGGCTTCCTTGGCGAGCATATCCTTGTCAAGGAGATCCGTCTCACTTCATTCGCATCGTTCCTCTGGGCCTCGCTAGTGACAATCTTGATCTGTGCCAGTGAAAGGCGAGTACTAGAGCACGCTGTACTTCACTGTATCACAGACTGACGGTACTTCGTGCCGCATCACAGGGCGCTCACTCTCGTGCTGGCACAGCGTCGGATACCGTACTTTGTGATTGGCGCAGGAAGGAGAGGTCGCGTGCAGGTTGCGCTATGGAGGACACTGCTTTACTGGGTGGCGACAATGCTTCGAATGTACGTTGATGGTCAACTGCATTCCAGCCGGTTATTGAGAAGACACTAGGTTCTACATGCTCATCGCGATGTCTTTCCACGTCGGCTTAATCTTAATCATGGTGCGTACTCGAGCCTCGGAACAGAGTCTACGTATACTGACTCTAGCTCTCTGTGTAGGTTACGACACTTTCCATTGGCCAATTCTTCATCGAGTACCTTGGCGAACCGCCAGAGGCCGCACTTCCCGTCCGGAACGGCTACCGACGCGCCGATATAGAACCTCTTACACCCAATGGACTCGCATCACCGTCTATTGACGAGAGAGACTCCCTGTTGCTCACACACCCGCGCTCGAAGTCATCCTCCCGGCCGGCGGTGGACATGCATTACCCGCCCAGATCAGGCGTGCCACCCGACATGCCAGGGCCGCCCAGCGCTATTTCGACAAGTGCATTACCCGACTCGAGCTTCCAAGACGTGCGGCGCGAGACGCATCACCGCACGAATTCTCAAGCGCGACTCATGCGCGGTATACCGGATGAGGACAGTGACGGAGAGGTGTAGGGTAACCTACAAAGTGGGGTCAAAAGAGGCTCTTGACCAATGTTATACTTTAGTTGTACCTCAGGTATCTAATATCTATGGAATCTATAAGTTCTGTGGCGAGAGCCCGTCATTGGCGAGGAGAGCGAGCATGGCCTTGATGACCGGGTTGTTCTTGCCCACATCCAGTATACTTCCCGACTCAACCGTGCGCATAAGCTGAGCATCCAATAAACGCCTGCAAGATCATGAGTATCCAACACAGAAAGATGATCTGCGTATACGTACCGCAACTGCTGCACCAGAATTCCTATCCTCGGCCACGCCTTGAGCTTGATCTCGCCCTCCCTTCCCCCAATTCTCAACCCGCCTCCGATATGATTGATCTGGATATCTCCCCCGAACAGCAACAGCGCATAAAGCGGCACCTCCGTCACGTCCCTCAGATACAGTTTGCCTGTTGCGACCCTCAAGAACGACACCACTAACCCGCTCTTCCACTGCGACTCGCCGAATAGGATGGAGGCGGGATGTATCCACACGCGCTCGCGGCGCATGTCAAGCACTTTGTATTCCTTCGCGGTGTTCTCGCGTTGGATGGCGCCGTGCGCCGTTTGATCGAACTTGAGAGCACCGCGTGGGAGAGAGACGCGAGATACACGGGGGTAGAAAGCGCCGAGTAGTATGGCTTTGAGGAGTGGCATAGACGAAGAGTGCGTGTTCAACGTCGCTTCGGTGGGCTTGGAGGATGCAGGAACCAGGCCGATGGACATCAATGCCGCGTAGAGTTCTCCGCGCAGTACGCCGACGTCGTGCACCGTCGACTGCGATATAAAGCTGTCCTCGCAGTACTGCCTGACTTCGCGATTGCCCCGTCCTTCTTTACGTAACTTCGTAACCTCGTCGTACGCGTGCATGTCGGTCAACAAGTCGCTCTTCTCCGTTGCGAATGATGCGCGCGCCGAGTTGGCCTCGTCGCGCCTATCCATTGGGTTCAGGAAGATGGGTTTGCAAGAGAGGATGGCGGCGATGGTCAGGATCGGATCCACGCATTGGAATGTGGTCGCTAGGATGAGCATCTTGCCGAGGCGGAGGTCCAGAGGTAGTACAGCCTGAAGAGCCACAACCGGTCAGCATGATATCAGCAACGATAGACCATGCACCACGTACTAAATGCCTTCCCAAAGCCGTCAACTTCCCCTTCCCATCCAACGCTCCAAGTTCCTGCAGCACCTCCAACGCCTTATCCATGGCCTCCACCTTCGGCGGATCAACAGCTTTGCCAAGAAACTTCTTCACGTCCTCGCCTTCCTTTGTAGCCTTGACATGTAAAGCCAGACTCTCGAGCGGGACACGCTGTATCTCCGGCTTCGGGAACGGGTGCATTTTCTTGTCCCGAGCGCGCGTGTAAAGTTTGTAACATGTTCCGGGTTGCGTGCGTCCAGCACGACCGCGCCGTTGGCGTGCCGCGGCGCGTGTCACCCAGTCCTCGACGAGCTTCGAGAGACCGGACGACGCGTCGAACTGGGTCTCCTTGACTTTTCCCGCGTCGACGACGTATACGATATCGTCGATCGTGATAGACGTCTCCGCGACGTTGGTGGCCACCACGACTTTCCATCCTGGTACAGAACCGAAGACGGCGCGCTGCTCGTCGCTAGAGAGGTTCGCGTGTAGAGGGAAGATGGTGACGCCTGTGGGCGAGAGACTGTTCTTGAGCGCGTCGATGCATTGTCGGATCTCTTGAACACCGGGCAGGAAGATCAAGATGCCGCCCTTGCCAGACTGGGCTTTGCGCATGATATGGTCTACGACCGACGTGACAAGCTGGATTGTGTATCAGTAGGGAGAAACAGTGAAGTGGGACGGATACTCACTCCATAGTCGAGCCTCTCGGCCCGGTCGAGAGCTTTGAGCGCCGACGCCGTCCGCTCATCAACACCAACCAGCCCATCATTGTCTTCCTCCTTCAATCCCCTCTTCCCGCTATTTCCGCCGCCTCTTCCACCACCCCTCCCCTGCGCCTGAGGCGTATACTTCAACTCGCTCCACACATCCTCCAGATAGACATCCTTGACGGGATGCGTGAACCCAGGGATACTCAACAACGGCGCGCCGTCGAAGTACCGTATAAACGTCTCGTGATTGATCGTCGCGGACATGAGTATGACCTTCAGCTTCTTGTGCGTCCTCAGCAGCTCTTTCAACTCCAAAAGTAAGAAATCGCCATCGACGGATCGTTCGTGCACCTCGTCCACGATCACATGTGTCACGTCGTCCAAATTATCCCCTCCACTCATTCTGCGCAGGACGACTCCGGTCGTACAGAATAAGAGTTTGGTCTTCTCCGAGGATTTGGATTCGCCTCGGATGGAGTAGCCTACGGAGCCGTCGTCGCAGCGCTCGGCGGAGACGCGCGCGGCGACGGATATGGCGGATATACGACGGGGTTGGGTGATGAGGATGTTCGCGGATTTGCCGGCGTTGGTGGATATCAATGCATCCAGTACGAACTGGGGGACTGGGATAGATTCAGCACGAGATATTGTGAGAGGGCATATGGGAGCTTACGCTGGGTAGTCTTGCCTGAACCCGTCTCGCCCACTACGACCACCACACGCGACTTCTCCAGCATCTCCAGGAACTCTTCGCGAGACTTGAACGCGGGCAGGCGTTCGCGCGTAGCGAGCATCTTCTTATACCCCGCCGTGAGCTTCAGCTTCTCGAACTCCTCCCGAACCTGCGCGTCCGAGCGCTGATCCACTCTCCTCCTGCCAGTCTTCTTCGTCGCGCGTCGTGGTTGGCCTGCTACTTCAGCCGGCCCATCGTCCTCTTCGAGCTCCTTCTGCGGCATCAAGTGCTTGAGCACGTCCGCGATATCCGGCGGTCCTTCGTCTTCGATTACGGCCCACTGCTCGTCCACGACCTGCATAGCTCCAAGAAGAATGCCATGTCCAGCCTCTTTGATGCTCCCATCCTCGAACGCTCTGAGCACACACGCCAGGAGATGTAGCCGCACATATGCAGGTGCGGAGGGAGAGGTGATGTACATCGGCGGAGGACGTGATTGGCGGTCGTACACCCCTGACGGGGGAAGTACGAAGTGTAGCGTCAAAGGAGCAGAGAAGAGCGCCATGCTCAGTACGCGCTCGCCGTCCTCGTCCCATGTAGCGCCCATAGCCTCAATATCCTCGTCCGTGATCTTGTCCTCCTCATCTGCTTCCGCATCTTCTGACGGTTCACTCCAATCCGTATTGCCTACGAGCCGACGATTCAGAGCATAGTTGAGCGCAGCCCAGTCGGATTGCAGATGAGGTAGGACCATAGCTTCTTTGACAGCATGCGCCGGCCACCCAGCAAGCTTCACAGCTCGATCCTCGATCCATCTCAACGCGATGTCGTCTTTCCTCCCATGCGCACCCATAACGAAGGGATTGCTCGAGTTGTTGCTCGGCAAGAACCGCGGTGGGAGATCGCACTCGGGGACGTGCAGGACGAGGTACTCTATTAGAGCGCTGAGGGGTGTGCTGAAGCGTAAGAGCTGCGCAGCAAAGGACGAGGGTGTTGATAGATAGGTAATAGCTTTGCGTGTTTGGGGGTTCGTGAAGCCAAGAGTGACGAGTTGTTTGGTGAGGTCCGGTGCTTGGGATTCTGAGAGCGTGAGGGATTCGTCGGGTTCAGATTCGGGATGGTTGGCTATTTCCTGTGACAGAGATTAGGATACAGCCATGTATAAGCGTAGTAGAACTAGAAATACCTGTTGAATAGCACCTTCTACCACGTCCCTCAGCTCTCCAGCCATCTTCACCTCCAACTCGTCCGCAAACTCCTTCGCGGCGGCCTGCTCCGCCGCCTTACCGCTCTTCACATCCTCTTTCTTTTGCGCGGCTTTGTCTTGACGATTGTTGACTTCTTGTCGCGCAGCAAAGGGGTCGGCAGCGTACATCCATTGCTGGTGGTCCGGTGCCGCTTTGTGCTCTACTTCAAGCAGGCGCCAGTAGTCGCGCGGAGCTGGGGGGAGGACGCGATCGAGACGGATTCCATTGCAGAACTAAACAGTCGCAACTTAGCATACTTGGATGAAGTAGAACTTGAGCGGTATACGCACGCGATACAGAGCATATGTAGCGCCCCAATGCCTCGCCTCGATCGCGGACGGACAGATGTACGGCGGATGCGGCTCCATCCGTACACTCTCCGTCTCCTGCCCCGTACTCTTCTGCACCAGCCTGCTAAGCGTAATCGCGAATGCGAACTGGCCATCGCCGACTTGGCGCGTGGTGACGTTTGGTTTTAACCATCCGTTCTTCTGACAGCTAGCTAACGTATCAATCTTTAGATACCGGTTGTACCATCTCGATCGGGAAAGCTGCATACCGTTCTTGGAGGAGACTCAAAGGGAACTTGTACCCGTCTGGAAAGAGCTTGGGCGGGTCCTTTGGCGGCTCGACGGAGTAGACGTCCGCGGCCTTCTTCCAGTCGTTATTTCTAGGTTTAGAAGCACTGGACTTGCTCGAATTGCCGGCGTTCCCCGAGCGAACAATACCCTTTTTGGGAGGCATGCCAGATACCAAAGGAAGGAAGATGTCACGAAATCAAATGCCCTCAAGACGGGGAAGTCATTATATATACAGGTGCGGTGAAAGATGGGCGCTGGGAGGGAAGAGTCAGTGATATAGAAATGATCGGTACCGGCGCGCGCCACGCGCCTCCGACGCGCAGGTCGGACTCTTGGCCGCTTACCACCACCGCGTCACCTCTGCCCACCATGGCGGACGACCTGGCGCAGCTCGAGTACCTCCAACTCGTCAACCGCATCCACTCCGAAGTCAACAACCATCTCGGCATCGACGACACCGTCCTCGCCAAGTTCCTCATCTCCGTCCACGAAAAGTCGAAGAACCTCGACTCGTTCAAGAAGCGGCTGGCGAAGAAAGAGGCCAACTTCCCCGACGCGTTCGTCGAGAACATCGACCGGCTGATCCTGACGCTGCACCCGAAGTACAAGAAGGAGAACAAGAAGGCCGTGCAGGTCGCCGGTGGGCAGGACGGCAAAGGCGGAGATGTGCAGGACAAGCAGAAGAGGATGTTCCCAGGCCTGGCGCTCGCGGATCAGCCGTGGGAGCCGAGCGTGCCGTCGAGTAAACAGGTGGATAATGAGCGGGATAATGCGGTGTTGAAGGAGGTCAACGACATGATGGCAGAGTTCGAGGCCGGCGCTAAGAGGCAGCGCACGAGGCCGAGCGAGGTGGACGAGCCGGCGCCTAAGAGGCAGAGGAGGTCGCGTTCTCCGAATGACAGGAATCGCGATTACTCAAGGGGGAGAGGTGGATACGACGACCGTGGACCTGGGAGGGGAAGACAGCAGCTGGATCAGCAACCGGTGCTGTACAAGATATACGACGGCCGCGTCACCGGCCTCAAGGAGTTTGGCGCGTTTGTACAGCTAGACGGCGTCGCTGGCAGGGCAGAAGGTATGTCTATACACGCTCACTATATTTATATCGTACGCTGACAATATACTAGGACTCGTCCACGTATCCAACATGGCAGTCGGCGCACGCGTCAACTCTGCCGCCGACCTCGTCAGCCGGAACCAGCCCGTGAAGGTGAAAGTGATGGGCTTCTCCGGTGCACGCATCACGCTCTCCATGAAGGACGTCGACCAGACCACCGGACGCGACCTCACGCCCCACCTCCGCATCAAATCGGAGGCTGAGCTCATCGAGGAAGAGCGCAAGTCCAGCATGCGCAACATGACAGGCACGAACGCCATCCCTCTCGGCTCCAAGGACGCTCCGCCACCGCCTATACCAGACGGCAAACCCGGTCGCTCGGCCAAACGCCTCTCGTCGCCCGAGCGCTGGGAGCTCAAGCAGCTCATCGCGTCTGGTGCCGCCGACCCGTCCGAGCTAGACGACGCGGACGACGACTTCGGTGCACCTGGCGTCAAGGCGGAGGTTGAAGAGGAATTGGACGTCGAAGTGCGCGAGGATGAACCTGCCTTCCTGCGGGGACAGACCAAACGCACTCTTGACCTTTCGCCCGTGAAGATTGTCAAGGCACCTGACGGCTCTCTCAACCGCGCCGCTCTTGCCGGTGCAGCACTCGCCAAGGAGCGACGTGAATTGCGTACACAGGAGGCGAACGAGCAAGCCGACTCCGAGACGAGAGACTTTGCCACGCCCTGGTTGGACCCCATGGCGAAGCCGGAGGACAAGAACTTCGCGCAGGATATCAGAGGGCAGTTGAGAGGGCAGCAGGCGGAGAAGGCGACGGGTTGGAAGGCGCAGACGTTCAACAAGGCGACGACGTTCGGAGAGATCACGAGCTTGAGTATCCAAGATCAAAGGAAGTCGTTGCCGATCTTCAAGTTGAGAGACCAGCTATTGGACGCTATCAAGGACGTAAGTGTAGTCTCTCTTAATGTCACATTTTATCTTGTACTGACGAGCATCATAGCATCAAGTCCTCATCGTCGTCGGTGACACTGGGTCAGGCAAGACCACACAGATGACGCAGTACCTCGCCGAAGCCGGATACGCAGACCGCGGTCGCATAGGATGTACTCAGCCTCGTCGTGTGGCCGCCATGTCCGTCGCGAAGCGTGTAGCTGAAGAGGTCGGATGCAGGCTTGGCCAAGAGGTCGGCTACACCATCCGTTTCGAGGACTGCACGAGCCCGGAGACGAGGATCAAGTACATGACGGACGGTATGCTTCAGCGAGAGTGTCTCGTCGATCCGGACGTCAGCCAGTACTCGGTTATCATGCTTGACGAGGCGCACGAGCGGACTATCGCAACGGATGTCCTGTTCGGTCTCCTCAAGAGTACGTTTCGACCTCCATGACTATCCATGTATACACTCGTGCTGACGCCTTGCTGTAGAGGCCATTAAGCGCCGCCCCGACCTCAAGCTCATTGTAACTTCCGCCACCCTCGACGCCGAAAAGTTCTCCAAATACTTCTTCGGCTGTCCCATCTTCACCATTCCCGGCCGCACCTACCCCGTCGAGATTCTCTACACCAAAGAGCCCGAAACGGACTACCTCGACGCCTCGCTCATCACCGTCATGCAGATCCACCTATCCGAGCCGCCCGGCGATATCCTCCTCTTCCTCACGGGTCAAGAGGAGATCGACACGTCGTGCGAGATCTTGTACGAGCGTATGAAAGCTCTCGGACCTAAAGTCCCCGAACTCATCATCCTGCCCATCTACTCCTCCCTCCCCTCCGAAGTCCAATCGCGCGTCTTCGAGCCCACACCCCCCGGCGCGCGCAAAGTCGTCATCGCCACGAACGTCGCCGAAACCTCCCTCACGATCCCGGGTATCTACTACGTGATCGACCCCGGCTTCTCCAAGCAAAACGCCTACGACCCCAAACTGGGCATGGACTCTCTGATCGTCATGCCCATATCCCAAGCCCAGGCGCGTCAACGCTCAGGCCGTGCGGGTCGTACCGGTCCGGGGAAGTGCTATAGGCTATATACAGAGGCGGCGTTTAGGAACGAGATGCAGCCTATGAGCATACCCGATATCCAACGGACGAACCTGGCGCATACGATCTTGATGCTCAAAGCTATGGGCATCAACGATCTACTCAGTTTCGACTTCATGGACCCTCCTCCGGCTCAGACGATGTTGCAAGCGCTCGAGTCTCTGTATGCGCTTTCGGCGCTGGACGACGAAGGCCTGTTGACACGTTTGGGACGGAAGATGGCCGACTTCCCTATGGAGCCTCCATTAGCAAAGACGTTGATCGCTGCTGTCGATCTAGGGTGCGCGGAGGAGATTCTGAGCGTTATCGCGATGGTCTCGGTGCAGAGCGTCTTCTACCGACCGAAGGAGAAGCAGGGCCAGGCGGACGCGAAGAAGGCCAAGTTCCATCAGCCCGAGGGCGATCATCTCACGTTGTTGACGGTGTACAACGCGTGGAAGGCTAGCAGCTTTTCGAACCCGTGGTGCTATGAGAACTTCATACAGGCGAGGAGTATGAGGCGGGCGCAGGATATCAGGAAGCAGTTGCTGGGTATCATGGATCGGCAAGTCTCTTTCGCTTGTTGCGGTACGATAGTGATGCTGATAATGATTTCAGGTATAAGCACGATATCCTCAGCGCAGGCAAAGACTACAATCGCGTCCGACGCGCCATCTGCTCCGGCTTCTTCCGCAACGCAGCCAAGAAGGACCCTCAAGAGGGCTACAAGACGCTTGTCGAAGGTACACCGGTGTACATTCACCCTTCATCGGCCCTGTTCAACAAGAACCCCGAATGGGTCATCTACCACGAGCTCATCCTTACGACGCGCGAGTATTGTCACAACGTCACGAGTATCGAGCCGAAGTGGCTCGTCGAGGTTGCACCGCAGTTCTTCAAGGTCGCGGACGCGAATAAGATCAGTAAGAGGAAGAAGCAGGAGAAGATTGAGCCGCTGTATAATAAGGTACGACTCTCTTGCTTTGCGTGCTCGGTGTGCGATGCTGATATAGTTTACAGTACGAGAAGCCGGACGAATGGAGACTGTCCAAGGTCAAGCGCAGTGCGCGGTCCAGTCAGACGTTCGGTTGATTATTGTATATCTACTCTGCTCTTGCTCCTTGCGCTTGTCTTCTGTATCGTGGAGTACCTTTATCGATCTGTCATTGCTGCCGTCCTCAGGACACTACTATAGTTGCTTTGATGGAATAATGGGATCAAAATATCCGCACTGATTTCGAATGGCATCGGAATATGAATGGCTGCAGGATATAAATGGCATTGGGATTTAAATGCCCTGGGATTCTAAATGCCTTGGGATTTTAAATGCCCCGGGGTTTAAATGCCCCGGGGTTTAAAATGCCGACCGGATTTTAAATGCACCTGATTTTTAATCCACGCTTCGGCATTTAAAATCCCGGACCGGGCCGGCCGCCGTACTTAGTACTAGGCCTCGCACGACGCATCTCAGATGCCTCTGGGAAGTACTCCACCTGTACATGTATACGCTACCGGTATACCGTAAGCGCTTCACTCGCAAGCGTTCACGCCAGAAACGTATTGATGTAGCGCCAACACTACACAAGCGGCCCTCAGACGAGCCAGCAGGGAGTCGTGGCGATCTGACGGCCGCCTGCGGCATCCAACGACGCGCCCTTGCTTGAACGAGAGAGGAAGCTCTGTCAACTGTAGTAAGGACGCAAGGCCGCGCGCGCGCGCCTGAAGCGCCAACCAGTGAGAAAACATTAACGCTTCATACGCCGTTACCTGGCAGAAAGTGTGGTGTGCGCGCGACTAAGCAAGTAAGCTGAAAGTCCTCCTCGAAATGGACAAGGGGGGATAACATGGTGAAATTGTTAACAGTCCGTATCCTGTGACTATCATATACAGTCCCATAAGCCGCGCACGTCATTAGATGCGATAAACGTGGCTCCATGCCGATATGTAGCCATTAGCGCATATATGAACCAGCATACAACATGAACATGCTCCCTCTTCATCTGAGTTCTTGCTCAAACTTGGTCAGAGATATCCGAAATAACACGCAACATTATCCATTCTTCTCCTCTCCCGCACGTTGTACATTGTGTAGCTTCCGCAGACCTTCGCGCGTAAGGATATTCGTATTATGGTGGTGAAGTGATAATTCCCACGGACGGATGTCAAGCTTGTACACCCGGTTCCCAGCACCCGGTGCTCGGTACGCGTAAGGCCATTGTAGCAGCTCCCCTGCTTTAGGTTGCGGTATCGTGACGGGTAGACCTGGAATCTGTCTCGCAGGTTCTATGACCCGATCGACACGCAAGGCAATAGAGCTCAGCTCTCCCTGCTCGTCGAAGGAGTGGGCCTCTAGATGACACACGAGCACGCCTGAACAGCAATTCAGTATCGGGCTAGGCTCAAGAAGTGACGACGTAACTCACCGTTCGTATGACACGGCTTGACCAGACCTTCGGGTTTCTCCTTGCCGAAGATCCCGGTTCGAATATAGAGTTTGATGCTATGGTCTTCGCCATCTGGGTTCGTTCCGAGGAATCGAACATGATTCTCTGTACTGTTCAGGTGCAAGGCAAATGGCTGGCTGAAGCTGTGTATATGTCGTGCTCTGTGAGATGGGTTGTTGCGATGAGAGAACGGCTGCATGAGAGGCGACCATGCGGCCAGATCATCCTGCGTGACAAGACCCGCTTGTAATGCGAGCTTGAACAATGGCTTCCCGACATTCCGCACGAAACGGAGGCCAGACATATGCCATGGCACGCCGGTAGGCAGAAGTAGGTCTTGGCCCTCTTGGAACGGCGTCTCGGGATCGGCAAGACAGCGGAAACGTATATGGCCCACGTCGAACTCGTTGAATTCGGGGACGAACACGTCGCTGTTGGGAGGATGATAGTAGAGGAAGCCATGCGCGTGTGCTGGGAAACGCATGAAACCAATATCTCGTGCTTGGTGGTATTTGATCCCAAACTTCGAGCGCTCTCTCTCGCCGTCCGAGTACTTCACGGAGAACCGACAGTAAAGCTTTCCACCCCAGGATATCCAGTCTTCACGCGCGACTTTCGTCTGGTCAACTGTGGTGATGCTGGGGAGTGATCTATCGGTGGCCCGTGGGGCCCGGACGCCGCGGGGACTCGGAGACCTCTTCGGTTTGTGCTGCGAGCTGGCAATCTAGAAGGGGCAAGCGGCTGTCATTATGTCGGATACCTGTGATAGGAATGCCGCCATGAGCATCTGTGACCACACTCACTTCTCGAGATCCGGTAGCAGAATGTGCGTACCGGCCGGTGTCAACCAGGATATGCCTCCGCGTGAACACTGCATTCAACATGCGCGAAGTGCCAATGCCACGTCCAAGCCTGTCCAGGCGTCTGAAGCTATGCAACATGTAAGGCATGAGGAAAGCATGTGCAAGCCAGGCCAAGCCTTGCTCCTGACGGCGTTAGAGTGGCGTTGGTGGTGGTTTGATTGAAAGACGGCGTTAAGGCACTTGACAGAGACTAGCCGCTCGAGCTCGATCCCTCACAGTGACTGACTCGCGTGATAGAAAACATGTATTGCACAGGGAGAACAGTGGGGTACGCGTGCACAGGCGGTATCATAAAGACGTGACGAGGGGGGAATAGTAGGGTCCTAAATCGGTGACGGCGGGGCGAAAGGAACACATTCGTACTAGTGTAGACTACGTAGCTCTCTTAAAGAAAATGGCTTAACGCGGCGTACGATGTGGTGCGCACATACGCGCTGTAATGAAGAGTGGTATGCAAAGAAAACACAACGTAGAACAGGGAGATAGAAAGGGAATGGAAGGGGAAGAGAGGAAGAACTAATACTATTGCAGCGAGCTGTCCGTCGTGATCGAGTCCATAAACAAAGTCTGAATTTCTGCGTCCAGAGATAGGAAGCCAAAGAGAAGACATGCATGGCCGTATTATAAATCTCACACTACACCCTAGTACCCACCACCGCTCCCGTACTGCCCAGGCGGCGCAGCACCGGGCGGCAAGCCATACGTCGACGTCCGGCTGTACCGGTTCTGCGGGCTGGTAGCATTGGCGGGCGTAGTGCTTTGCCTCCTCGGCCTCGCCACACGGCGTACGCCCTCGCCACCAGGCGGTGGTACGGGTCCGGAGTCTGACAGACTTACGCCGCGCTGTTGTTGTGGGATTTGAGGCGGTGCGTGGCGCACAGGTGAGAACTCGTCCGGCTCAGCAACGTAGCCGGTGTGAGCGGCGTAGGCGGGTTGCGCGTGTTGAGCCTCAGGATACGCCGACATCGCGCCAGCGCGGATAGAATTGCCCGTGCGCGAGACGTGTGCTTCCAATGTACGTTGTGATTGAGGTTGGTATCCATGACTGGGCTCGTCCGAGTATACGTCGGGTGAGGATGGCGAAGAGATCAAGCGCTGATGTGCGCCGGAGGAGCTCTCGCTATAAACGTCCTCAGAAGAGCGCGCGGGTGACGTGCTCAAGCCTGAGTTCGGCGATGCGCGCAAGCCGAGCGGCGCAGGGAGCGACAGTAGTTGATTGGAGTCAGCGCGTCCGCGTGGTACGGCGGGAACATAGCTGCTGTCCGTCGTCGAGTTGTCGTAGTTCTGGCTGGTGGCGACATCTGAGCTTGAGACAAGCGAGTAGCGCTTGTTCTTGCTGTCCCAACCACCGTACGAGTCCCGGCTCTGCATCCCGCTCTTCCATCGCCTCTCACGTTCGAATTCGGCCCAGCGCTTCATGACGATGTTGGTAGAGTCGAACTCGCCCTCCTTGTCACCGTGGCCCTCGCCCTTCTTCTCGCCGGAGACAGCACGCGTGGCACCCCATGAGAAGTCGTCGAAGTGCCAGTAAGCGTAGGCGGGGAGGATGCCGTTCCATACGGGAAGGGAGAGCAGGTAGACGAACATCCAGCCGACGTAGGAAAGCTTGCGCAACGTCAGGACAATGAGGATACCGGGTAGACCCAGGACGACGGCGAGCAGTGCGAGGGGGATAGCGTCGTTCGGTCCGCCGGGGATGGCAGCGTCGATGATGAGGTAAAGAGTGAACGAGATGGCGGCGGGAAGAACGAGTGTACCAGCCAACTCCATAGCGACGACGAACTGCATACTGAAGCAGAACGTGCCGCACAAGTCGCGGACAAGAACCAGCTCGAAGAGGTTGTGCACGGTCGAGTTGATCCAGCGACGACGTTGCGAGAGGAGTACACGGAAGGTATCGGGGACAATAGTCTTGCAGACGGCCGAGGGGACGAAGATGTTCTTGCGCTTAGGGAAGGTCTTGAGCAACAGTGTCGTGAGGTAACGATCCTCTCCAAGCAGAAGCAAGTTCTTCTTGTGCAGCGTGTTGACGACGTTCTCCGAGTAGTGCTCGACAATGTCCGGGTTTGCGAGGATGGGGACCCAGTAACCGGATTGACCTTTGGGCGCCTTGATGCGGTACATGCTGAAGCAACCGGGCAAACATGTCACACCGCCGAACATAGACTCGAAGGCCTTGGTCATGTGGTGAGAAATGCAGTACTCGAAGACTGGTAGAAAGTCAGCAACAGCATCTATCTTGGGGAATGAGGTACACATACCTTGGATCATCGTAACCCACGTCTCGCCCTTGTTCGCAATCTTAGTCTCGCCGCACAGGCCCATCACCTCCTCATCCTGCACCATAGCCGCAACCATCCGACTGATCGAATCCGGGAAGACCTTCGTGTCTGCGTCCACACACAACACGATCTCGTAGCGATCCGGCGAAACGCCCGTACACCTCCAGATCGAGTTGAAGAACTCGTACTCAAATGTCGTCATGCGCTCGTCGAACATCACGCGTTGCAAGAAAGCCATAAGCACGATCTGACTGTCGCGCTTGCCGCGGTTGCCTGGCTTCGCGTCGCCCTGCTCAAGCGGATTCCCCGTCTTCGCGACTAGAACCATCGGCACGCGTTGTTGCTTGCTTCGCTCGACCGTGCTGCTGTCGTAGTCGTAGAATCCAGCGTAGACCTTCGCCATGTTGTGTCGCTTATGACCGTCCGCGATAGCGACGTACGAGTGCGCTTCGACGTCCTCCGGCTCGATCACGAAGTCCTTCATCATCTCCAAACAGATCTCGGGCGTCGTCTTGGAGTTGCCGGCACCCTTGACCATACCGTCTGCAATGACGAGGATGAGCTTGTGGCTGTTCGGGTAGTCGGTCGTGGCAAGCGAATCGAGCGTCGTGCGGAGACCTTCGACGGACTCGGAGTACGCGGTGACGAGACAGATTGTGTGCGCAAGAGGGTATCCGAAGGGCTCGTAGTCCGCAGCCGGCTGAGGTACGACATTGTTGAGCGGCCAGGGACAAGGTTGACCGTCAAAGCCGTTCACGCTCGTAGATGACCGCGAGTCTCTGTACGGGAGATCGAATCCGGTAGTACGCCCGCTCTTGCCGCTGACACTCGGTGCGCCGTACACACTCAAAGCAGCACCGCGCTTGTGCGGCGGATCCGCAAGTTGGCCATATGTCGTCGTAGGACGGCCGCCCATGCCCTTGAGCAGTTGATCCGAAGGCGTGAAACGCGACTGCGAGGGAAGGAACGTCTTCTTCGGGGCCTTGTTGACAGCTGCGACGCCATTCTTAGCTACGCTCGGACGGTACTCGGTCGGCGCAGGACGGTAGATGTCGTTGGACCAGTTCTCGATTTGGTTCATGCGCTTGTTCCGCTGCTCGCGCGTCTCGTTGTCAAAGGCGCCGATCTTGTGGGCGAAGAACCAGGCGAAGATGACGGCCATGAAGAAACGGATGGCAACGACACCGATGATGAAGACGAGCGATACGACGAGTACGACTTGCGACGCGACACAGCCAATCGTGTCGGTATCGATGAAGCCGACGCCGATGATCTGCTCGAGACAGTGACCCATGTTGCGATCACCGAGACGCATGAGGGCCATAGACAGATCCTTGGTATTGTAGGTACCGTTCCCGGACTTGAGCTCGTCCCAGAATGCGGGGTAAGTGACTTGAGATGTGTCGAGCCAGTTGAGCAGATCAAAGTTGAGTACCGCGCTAAGGGACGTGTGAGCAGAATTCCCTCAACTGCCGATTGAGCCACTTACGATTCGAAGACAGCGAGATTCCGGCTAGTATCGCGGACGTTATCCCAGGAGTAGTAAACTTGGCCAGAGGGGGACATCTTGGCCAGGTCGCTACGAGCCGTGGATGACAAATGGCAGTTATCATCGGAGGTGTAAGCCGTTTGATTGACCTTGGACGTGCTGTTCTGGGGGATAACGTTGCAAGGGAAGTAGTATCCGGGCGAGTCGGTGCTGCCGTCGGGCAGGCTGGAGCCGGAGGCCTTCTTGATGAGGCCTTGACAGCTATCGCCGACGTTCTGGAACATGAACGAGATATCGTTGCCGGCGACATCCCAGTTTCCGACGTAGAGCGGGTTCTGAGTACCGTCGAACGAGCCAACCTTGGGATGGTTGAACTTGTCGAAGTTGTAAGCGTAACCGTGGATGACGACCGAGCCGGTGTCGATCGAACCGGCGTAGAAACGGGTTGTTGTGGTGTTACAGACTGCCTTTGTGAAGCCAAAGGTGAGGAAGCCGACGCCGGCCATGAGAACGACGATGACCCAGATGAGACCCATTTTCTCCCTCCAAGCACGTTGTTGCTCCTTGGTCCGCATGCCTAAACGCCGCCTGTGAGAAAAAGATGCGGAAATGGGAACAGAGCTTTCACGTACCGCAGCAGCTGAGGGCGGCGGATGGCACGAATATTGTGGAGAGATAGCAGTAGATGACCCAGCCGTCTACGGGGCCGGGTATATGGGACCAGCAGCCTCTGCGGGCGGACTTGTCTGGGACGACGGGCGCCTCTGCCTCCTTCCGTTTACGGCGAAGGGTGGTTCCGCGCTTGAAGAGGGCGAGGCCGGACTCCTGCACGTCTTCCTCGCGCGCGAGCAGGGAGCGCCCGCGTCTGAGACCTTCGCGTTGCGGCGCGTTGCCCGTGGCTGAGCGATTTCTCGTAAGCTCCAGAGTCAAATGTTTGAAAAATAGAGAAAAGACAAACTGGAGGGGTGCACGAGGTTTGCGTTGTTCTGCTCGAGCTCAGCTGCGTGGTGGCGGTAGTGCCATTGGCGATGGCCAGGTTCGATCTTCTCGCGGTCCGGCCTGACGAGCGACTTCTTGCGGTACATGTCGGCGCCTGCAGCGCCGCCGAGCTCGGGATCGTTCGTGGGAGAGGCGATGTTGCGGTACGGCTGGCTGCGATCGGGCCGCTCGGTGGACTGGAAGGATATTTGGCCGCCGGCATGTCTGCCCGCCGTGTAGGGTTGTGGAGATGGCCGCTGGGCCTGTTGGTCGGGGTACGATGGCGGGTCCGAGTTCTGGCCGTGCGGGTATGTCGGCCGCGGGGCCCGTGGCGGGCGAGCGTTGTAGTCCATTCCGGCCCTCGTCGACTGCTACGACGACTACCGCGGCCAAGGGAGTTGAGAGGTCGTGGGGGTGGACGTCAGTGGTGAAAGAGACCGCGACGGCAACAACCCTCCGCCGGCTTGCGCTGATCCAGGGCGCCTATGACGAGTTGCCTCGCAGGTCATGCTGTCCTCCAATATGTCTCATATGTTATCATCATAAAATTTGTCTCAAGGCGAGATGGCCGAGCGGTCTAAGGCGCCAGACTAAGGATCTGGTCCGAAAGGGCGTGGGTTCGAATCCCAGGCGTTCTTTCGTTTTTACCTCAGGTCTCCCAGTGTATGCACAGCATATATGTGTGACAACGACGTCTCTGCACACTTGTTAAACTGAGCATGGTAGATATCTTCGCGAAGTTCCTGCGTTTATAGTGCTACGAAGACCCTTCGACGATGAGAGGTCTCAACTTGCAAGGCTTGTATATTTCAAGACGTGCTACACAATGCATGTATCAATGCCTCAACTGTCCACTGCCTTTCCCACGAGTGACTGTCCTTCAAGTACCCAACACCCTCCTCAACCAGCTCACGAGTTAGTTCCCTCGTCCTCCCCGCATACGGAATCCTCGAGCCCCACACCACAAGATGAGCACCAACATGTCCTGCCGCGACGCCAGCCCACGCTCCGTCCTGACCGGAGCGCCGAGCTGCATAAGCCCGCAGCAGCGCACCCACGAGCTCATCCGCGCATTCCCTCGCGCTGCGCACGAACTGTTTCAGCACGCGCACGTCTCCGGCGAACTGGCCGACGTCGAGACCTGCCAGCCCCGAGCGAGCTAGTTCCCAGTCTACGATGACTAGACGCTCGAGTTCCCCGTCGGAGCTGAGACGGACGAGGATGTTGCCCGGCCAAAAGTCGCCCATTACGAGTGTTTCGAGCGAGTCGTTAATGTCCCGCTTACGAGCCTCAACCAGAGCAGCGATCGTCTCCTTCGTATGCGCATCAAGATCAAGAGGCGGTTCTCTAAGATCGGGTATGCTCTCGTCGACGCCGTCCAGCGTGCTGAGCAGCCGCCCGTAAGTCGCATAGATCGCGATCCGCTTCGCAAGTGCATGACCAGCCGCCCATTCCCGGGCTTCCGCAGCGTCGTCCGAGGCACCCCAGCTATGCAGTCCGGCGATGAATCTGCCGAGCTCGGTACCGATCTGAGTGGCGAGCTTGGGTGTCAGAGTTCCGGGAGAGTCCAGCAGGAGTTGTTTGAGCGTCTGCGTGTTTTCGCCTGCGTCGTCCATGATGATGATGTGTGCGTTGTCGTCAAAGTGGTGTACCTTCGGTACAGAGACGAGCGAGGAGTTGCCTATCACAGCACTGGCGATACGTTTCAATGCGCCGGCCTCAAACTCCTGCGCAGGATTGGTCAATATGGCGCACTAGTGTGCCAGAATCACAAGATCGGCGATGCATGGAACTTACCTGGCGCGACGTTGAGAACTCAAAGCTTTTGTTACCAGGAAGATATGGTTTCGCATGTTTCGCGACCAGAGTATGTCTTCCTTCGTACGGCGTCCGAAGGCGGATGCGAAAGACATAGTTCCCCATGCCGCCTGTCAGAGAGGTCGCAGACTCTGCAGCGAACGGCGTGTCCGCCAGGTAGCGAAGAAGGTCGGACGCGACAGAGAGGTCAAGACCCTGCTCAGTGCCCGCCATGATGTACAATCGCTTGAATGCAGGCGGAGGCGAGGAGAAGATGGAGGATGATTTCTGGGCTACGGCTGCGGCAAGTTCAGAAGGTTTAAATTCGGTTCCGAGTGCACGATGACTCTGCCGTGGAAGCCTTCTCTCAGAATATAGCTGGACAACAATACGGGAATAGTAACGGTGAAGAGCAAGTTGGATATGTACATGGCATAGGGTACACAATTGGTAAACAGCCGTGTTGATGGTAGTCAATGGTCAGGGTCATGATGCATGATCCCTCGCCGCCCGCGTCGTGCGCGTGCCGCGGACGCCTCTTTCCCGCAGACCATCATGCAGCCACAGGAACTCATTGTGCTCTACTGCCGTAGTGGTGGCTTGCCGCACAGTTCGCTATCTTGAGATCAGTCGTGTCCGAGCCATCGTTGCTCAAGAGTACGTCCAGTGTCAGGAAACTGTGCACAATGCACACTATATTGCAATACCTAGCCGACCCGCTTACAGCGCCTGTACGAGTCTCACTCTATAGACGCCTTCTTCATATCCCGTAACTTTGCCTTCTGCTTCTTGTTGGTCTACCGGTCAAATACCAAGAGCTTCAGCATAAGTCAAGAATCGACATTTACACGCGTACCTCGTTCTTAGACCTCTCCCAACGCCAAGTGCCGTTTTCCTTCTGCTTCAAGATACCCGACCACTCCACGAACGTGTTCACATGTTCGTCATAGAATCGACGCGATACAACTCCCTCTTGGGCATTGTGCTCAAGCTGCTCCCACCACTGCGCGTTCTCGGGTACGCTCCTCTTTAGAAGGTTCAAATCGAGATGGCCACGGCAAATCTCGATCTTCGTGGTGTATGCTACACCCTCTGCGTTGACTGGTACGTGGCATCAGCGTCACTTGGAAAGTTCTTGCACTAATCACGACGTACATATGGCGGACACGGCGGATACCCCAAGCTGCACATTCGTAGGGTCATTGTTGTCCTGATGTAGTCGCGCATTGTAAAGCGTGGTCTGTTGACGGAGGTTGTCTGGAAGTCCCTCCAACGGCCAGGGAAGGGCGGCATCGATGTATTGGAAGGCAGAAGCAGGGCTGACGTCCAAGCCCCGTAACTTTAGCGAGAACCAGACGCATTCAGTCCGCACATCCATGGGCGGGAAGACTTCACTTCCTCGTATGCGCGCGAGCTCGTTCCCTACTACCACGGATAGCATTCGCTTATGGAGCTGAATGAAGTCTTCCAGCATCCCTTGGAAAACGTGTGGAGATGGCTTGTCTGAGGAAGGTTCGGAGCTCGCGCCTGATGCTTCATGGCGTTTGGCAGCTTCACTGGCAGCGGCCCGATGCATCTTGCAGAACTCCTTATGCCGTTTCCAGTCTTGCTTCTGACAGTCAGCAGACTATTCAAGCGTGTCAGTGTTACTGCGCCACATTCCCTGAGTGCGAAGAACGAGTCTCACGCAGTACTTGACTCTCTGGCAGCCGGAACAGTATTTCAAAGCCTCAGAACCTTCACGCTCTTCACCCCGGGAACCTAGGCCACCGCAGAATGTGCAACCTCCCTTCGAGTTCCTCGAGATGTTTCCCTTGTGGTTGTGCGCCTTGTACACCGTCTGATCGTCCTGAGACTTAAGTAGACTAATATCAGAAGGCGAGAGCGTCGACATAGGATGACACGCAGAGCAATGAGCGGTCTCGGAGGGAGATAGTGGCAGCACAACTGCGGGGTGTATGCACGGCGATCCCAATGACGAGGGTTCAGGAAGACCCTTTGGCGCTTAAATAGGCGCTTATATGCATTCGGTTGCCACACTCGGTACCGATGACTCGCTCTTCATCCATAGCATGTACTTGTTGCGCAGTTTGAGCATCCATGCCTCATCCCATCAGGGCACACCGCAACTGAACGTTGCTGCGGTAGACGCTTCAGTCTACACACGGGATACATCGACAAGGTTAAGTCATTGCAAGTGTCCACTGCCCTCCACTCCAGGACGAAGCACATCTACGAGTTCAAAACTATCCGGTCGGATTCATTTACATCCACCCCATCTCCTCAGCAACCCGCTGGAATCGATGGCCTTGCATCGACGTGCGAAAGCCAGTGCGGTCCACCTTGAGCTCTATACGCTCGTTCGCCTTCGGCTTCATGTCGCACTCCTTACCAGCGTACAGCGCTTCAAGGTACTCCTGCTCCTGCGCGCTGAATGCCGAGCCAGTCATCTCGTCCGTGTAGCTATCGTAGCTGTCGTCGCTTTCGTAGCTGTCGGAGCCGGGTTTGTTCAAGATCACCCAATTCTCTCCAGCGTCCCACGGAGCGAACTCGGCACCCTCGGACGCATGATGCGGCTTTGTGTTCGGCTTGCGCCCGTCCCACGGACGCGGCACCATCCCGCCACGCGTATCCGCCGCGCTCAACGCAGCAGTCAAGCTGCGGATCATACCGCGCGGACCCCCGGGCTCATTGGTCGTCTTGTTGACGACCTCAGTAAGCACGTAGTCCTTCGGCGTCTTGCTCGCGAGAAGCGACATGATGTCCTCGGCCCAGTAGCGTGCTGCCTTGATGAGTGTCTCGTACCCCTTGTGACCTTTCTTGTGCTTTCCGACCTTGACGTCGCGGATGAGAGGAGCCCAAAACTTGAGCGAGACGTCGGTGACTTCGACGTGACCCAGGACATCCCACGTGTGGATGGCGTCGTAGATGACTTCGGCGACGTTGTAGGTAGCGAAGAACTGCGGGTGGCCGCCGATGAACTCGTCCTCGGTGAAGAAACCGTAGTCTATTCACCGTCATCAGCATTCCGCTTTTCAGTGTATCCAAGTATGAAAGACGTACAGCAGGGTTTGCTCTTCGGGACCTTATCGCAGAGAGTGGGCCAGTATTTCTTGAACCTGTCACCAAGTACGCGCATGTTCGACAGAGAACGTGGCGAACATGGCTGGAGCGTCAGGTCGTCGCAACCGCGCGTTATGTCGAAGTTGTAGATCGTGGCAGTGTGCGGGGCAGAGCCAGGTCCAGTACGGCCTTGTGTGAGGTCGACGTCGGTCGTCTCCGACATGAAACCATCTGTGGGGTTCCAGAACGTCTGCCAAGAGTCGCGTCAGGAATTGTAGCATGAGAAGGTAGAGGACAGAGGGATAGAATCGAACCTGCATGTAGTCGAGTACGAGGTTAGCCTTCTGCTCGTAGTCGACGACGTCCTGCAGGATGTTCAAACGACGGCCAAGCGCGGCGCCACCCCTGAGCGTGCGGTATTGCAGTGCGGCGGTCCAGTACGAGCCGCCCCAGATGGGAGGCCACCACAGGTCGTACCTGAATCGGCGTTAGCCGAGATGTGTCTCATGTTCAATCTGTAAGTGACATACGAGCTAGAGTTCCAGTGCGTCGAGATCCACTTCAAGTCGAGATTGATAGCCGGCCAGAGGTTCTGCGCGACCCAAGCGCTGCTGTTTTTCGCCTCAGGCTCGAGCAGCCAGTGCGCGTACTTCATCATGATGCCACCGCGGAAGGGCGGGCCGTCGGCCGCCGGCGAACCCGGACGGTAGCTGAGGTTCAGGATCATGGAAATGTTGTAGTAGAAGACTGGCTCCTCGAGGCCACCTGTGAACATGTCTCCGCTCAAGCTGACGACGTGCTGTGTGCGGATGAGCGCGTGCATTATGTCGTCCGCGAGTGGACGGAGGGAGGTGTCTTTCTTCTCACTATTCAGTGGGTAAGGGAATCAGCATGTGCGAGCGCGCTGAAAGAAGCGATAAAGACGTACATGAGACGATTGAGCCACATATCGTAAACGAGGCAAGCGTCTCGAAGCCAGTAGAGAGAATACTCCGGAAACTTCGGGTCCGGAATCACAGCACTCACAACGCCAGGCTGAATGCCCACAAGTCAGTACCGTATTGCCATTGGAAATACGACAAAACGCACGTCGAGACCAGACTCGACACCAGTTGTCTGGTGCAAGAGCACGTCCGAGTTGGCCTTGTCGAGCTTCTTGATGTATTCATCGTTACCGGCGTGCGGGTCCTTATGCTTTGGGTGCTTTGGGTGATACGAAGCGAGAGCTGTGCTCGCAAAGACGATGGGGAGTAAAGACGCGAAGCGCATCTTCGTCGATGCCTACTCTGGGTGAGACGCCGCAGGTTAAGTACTCTGACCATCCTGTTGGGGTAGCGTCACTATTCGTAGAGCCGAGGATCGTGACGGGAATGCGCCACGCTGGCGCCCTGAGATAGAGGGTAACGGCGACAGCAATAATTCGGATTGACTGCTTCGCTGATAGTCCATCGCAGGTGCAGAGTAAGCGGGATCCCGGGACAAGCGAAACGCACGCGAGCCGAACCCGAGTGAGAGATGCTCGGACGTAGACGCGGGGCATTATGATCATGAGACGCGGTATCCTCCGTATACGGAGGCCTTGAATAAATCATCTCCAACATTCATCAATACAATCGTCCTCATAGTTTCAGTGTGTACACTTACTTCAGTCGCCCTTATCGTTCTCTGGGCTTCAAGCGCCGACGGTGACAAGAACCTCTTCACCACTTTCATCCGCGCTCATCCCGTTGATCTAGACGATGGTCAATACCAATGCAGCTTCGTTGAGAGACATGGGCGCTTCACTGCCCGATGATGATGCGACCGCCATCGTTGATCAAATGACATAGCGCCGAAGACACAATTCGGGCGTCTATACAAGCTCGCACAGTGACATGCATGAAAGAGCCCATTTCCTCATTACTCGCTGAGAATACATGCAATCAATTCCGTTTACATTATCTATCGGACTTGCGTATGAGTACCAGCCAGAATCGCCCGCATCAGGATGAACGTACTGTCGAAGTCTACAACTGCAGCTCCTTGACAACTTCCCAACCGGAGTCTTCCTCAACTACCCCAGTACTTTCTCTCCTCTCTACTTCCTCTCTCCGTCTCGCATGTATTCCCAAACTCGCTCTCCCACCGCTCTCCACTTCGTCAAGGTACTTGCCCCACAACTTCTCGACTTTCCGCCCGGTCAGTTCCTTGAACAACTTCTCATCCCACTCCTTGTCGTCAAGAGCGGCGTTCAACTCCGCGATGGTGCCGTCGCCATAGCGAGTCTGTGAAACGTAGTATCAGGCTGATGATCAGCGCGCGGGTGAGGCGCGTTACAACATACCTCGATCCAGTCAAGAAACAGCGCTGTGGTGCCATATCCAGCATCCCATTTGTCCGAGCGCTTTCCGGGTGCCCAGTGCGGAGGAGCGAGTCCAGCTCGCAACCGCACAAAGTCGGCGATGCCCTCGATAAGCCCTCCAGGAGCCGTTCCACGAGCATTATGCTGGAAACAATGCACAGCCTCGTGTACGAGCACACCCATGATCTCGTCTCTAAGACGAGAGGAGGAGTTCACGACGTGCTGAGAGTTGAGATGGATCTGCTTGTGCGTATGCGTGCCGGTGGTGTACGCTACTCCGTCCATAGGTCTTACAACGAAGAGCACTTCTTCAACACTGGATTCAGAGAGGCCCACTTAGAGACAAGATCAATTATATGCATCATTCATACGCACTGCTTGACAGCCTTCTCTGGCTCACGGTAAAGGCCGCGAAGAGCAGCGACGACCGCCATCCTCAAGTCTGTAGGCGGATCCGGGAGTGCTTTCAAGAAGAGTTTGGTTCCTTCGTGAGCGAGATCATCCAGTCGAAGCGTCAGTGTCGGCTTTGGCCATTTATCTTCGTCGTCAGGTGGCGTCGGCGCGGAGGATGCTGGTGGTGGAGTTGGAGGAGGCGCCATCGGCGATCACTTCGCGACGGGCGCTTGAACGTCCTAAAGTCCGGGCACCCATACGGACCCACGACTAGGGGAATCATATGCCTACGTCCTCTCTTTGGAGAAATGCGGGGTAATACAAGCGCGTGCATGCAATGTGTGTGTACAGATCGAGAGAACAAAGCGAATATCATAGGAATACAGTAGAGTGAGAGACCACAGAACCCAGTCACAACTCAAGCCGCCACGCTGGCCATCATCTCGACCCGCCCGACCTCCCTCTCGAGCTCGCCCACGCCCTCTTCCAGCCACCTGACATACTCGACCGCCCTGAAGAGCACGCCGCTCTTCCCTCTCGTCCGTCCCCTGCCGCTCGCGCCACTCCCCTTCGGCCGACCCCTCGTCGGCATCCCGCTGCCGGGCGGCGCACCCGCAGGCGCCAGCAGAGTAGTGAGCGAAGCGTATCCGTCGCGGATAGCGTTCCGTCGCTTCTGCTCGGATAAGATGTGGTTCAAGCGCTTCTGAGGCGAAGAGAGCAGGGCTTTCTTCTCCTTGGACTGCGCATCGCCATCGGCAGAGCCTGGTGAGCGCGACCGCGAGTTGGATGCAGCTGCTTTGCGCTTTGACGGGGCACGAGTAGATGTCCGCGTGGGTGCGGTCGGTGTCGTCGGCGATGCGAGCGAGTTGGACGAGTCGTGAGATAGTAATGGGTGTGGTGCCGCTGGTGCAGTGAGCGACTGCGGGCCCGTGAAGCTCGTCAGATCCGCCCCGAACGACGGCGACAGCAGCGAGCTGAACGTATTGACGTCCGATGAAGGCGCGGGCGGATCAAGCAGCGACGAGGAGTTCTGCAAGAAATTCCCCGTAGCACTCAGATCAAAGCCAGAATTATTCGTATTCGCGTTGTTGGGCGGTAATGGAGCATCAAAGTCAAAGCCAAAGCTGTCGAGGAATCCGAAGAGATCATTCGTCTCGCTGCTGCTGAACAAATCCGCGCTAGATGGTAGAGGTGGCGGCGCCGGGAACGTCGAGTCGAAGCCGAAGTTCGGAAAATCGGGCGGCGGTGGTGGTGGCGGGAACATGGCGCGCGGCGAGGACATTGGTCGTAGCGCTCGTGGTGGTTGCTGTTGTCGAGCAAGACACCGAATGCGGGGGTGTGCGGGGAAAGGTACGGACCTCCGGCAAAGATTAGCTCCCGACGTCACCGGGCCCTGCTCACAGCCCAATCAGGGCACGCCCAAATCCCACGGCCGTACTCGTTCAATAAAACGTCAATATTGCTGGTTTCATGCTGCGTGCTACAAAGGATAATCGATACAGTACAGGTACAGAGAGTCGTATGCGTATGCGAGTGAGAATCATCGGTGAAGGGACGGGATACACAGGTACAACTACAGCGTGGGCGGGGATGGAGAGGGTTCTAGGATAACAGACAGCATACATAGTGCGGAGCAAAACCTCACAGGCGCACAGCGCGAGCGAAGAATCGTTCGGGAGAAGACGAAGGATCGATATGGACGCAGGTGTGGACGGGCCAAGACGAAGCAGGAATATTGGGGGCAGGGAATATGTTGGAGGAAGATCGAAGCGGAGCGGGGGTAAATAGGAGGGCGGCGTATATGAGAGGGTAAAGGAAGCGTTGTGATATGGCGTGAAGATCAGTATAGAGTAGCAGAACTGAAGAGGCGTGGCTATCCGGAGCGCGGACGGGCTGGTAGTGCGGTGATCATGTACAAATGCCGAGATCTTGCGTGAGGGAAGCGAGGCGAGTGAAGGCGAGTTACAATCCGAGTATATGCAGAGCGTTCGATGGGGTGCCAGGTGATATATGCGTGAGGGTCTTGGTGAGATAATATCGATAAAATATGGCAGGAAGATTTCCGTGTTAATGCGCATCTAGTAACCATAGTATGCGCGCTAAAAAGGTTATATGAGTAAGGGTGGGAGACAGCTTGAACGAGAAGGGCCCACCATGCGATCAAAGAGCCAGATAACCTTGGAGCCCGTCTTGCAGCCACGGAGCGTCACAATATGCCCGCGAATGGCATCGTACAGGAGCGTGCGCTGGTCCTTGTCGATCTACAAGAGATGGTGATAAGATGGTCGAAGGGTATCATGAAAGGGGTACATACGCCAGGCAAAACCGCGGCGATGAGTTGACTTCCAGTGACCGAGAGTGCGAGGTCTACGATGATCGCCCGCCGACCACCTTTAGCAGGCTCGGACATGCGTTTGACAATGCGGTTCTGAGTGTCCTTGCCGCCTTCCTTGAGCGCCTTGGTGACCGATTTGGAACCCTGCTCGTTTGTGGCGAAGTCAAGGAGGCCGGAAATGAGATGCTCAAGCGCCATCTGTCGGTGCTTGGGAGAGCCGTGCTCAAGAACTGTAAAGTGTATGAGTCCACAGAGCCAGGGTCGCGAAAGAAGAGGCCATACTATGCTGAACACAGTAAGCGCCCCACTGATTCTTCGCGACTTCGGCGAAGACGATCGGCCCCTGGTTAAGAAGTTCGTCCACGATACCGTCTTTCGCAGCCTCTTCAAGATTCTCAAACGCATGTTGCACGACAAGTGAGCCGGTCTCATGGCAGGCTAGGGCGGCCCACTTTCCCTGCAACGATGCGTTGACGCTAGACGTTTCTGTCAGCCGAGCCCGCCTGGAGCGAGGACGAAGAACACACTAGGCAAAGATTGGTGGCGCCGGCGCCGTCCAAGTGAGTTCCATGATCTATATGGGCGGTTAACTCCATTCCGTTCATTACGCCGATCGAAGCTGACCTTGCTCCATACGTGCGAGGCGTGCTTGTTGACGAGCGTCTGGGCAGGATCTCCCAGCAGCAGCTCTGACACTATGATGAGGCGAACCTCTTCCTCGCAGTCGAGCGCCTTCTGCAAGACATGGCAACCATAACAGTTCATAGCGAGCTCGACGACGCGGCCACTGCAAAGATACGTGCGCGTCAGTGCCACTACTGGTGCGAGAGTGGTGCATGGGATCTTACCGCATGCATGTAACGATCTTGCGGCGTTCTTCGAGAGTCGAGGCCGCCTCGAGACAGCGCTGAACGGCCCAGTTGCCGAAGCGATGAGCCATCATATCGAAGCCGCGGGCACAGATCGCGTCGATGATCTTGGCGCGTTCGTCCGCATCTGCCACCTTGAGCTTCTGCTGCAGAAAGATCGACGCCTGCTGGTCGGACGACTTGATTATCCGCGAGACGAAGAGGGGGTAAGGTGGCGAAGAGGACGGATGCAAGAGGGACAAGAAGTTGATAGGCTGTTTTACGAGTCAGTTACAATCGGTGGAAATGAAGTGTGGACGATGCGAACCTCGTGGCTGTTGGTCGGCTGGGAAGGACTGGTAGGAACAGGCGTGAACATGTGCTGAGCCTGAGCCTGAGCCTGCGGAACAGCAGGCGGGCGCATCTGGAGCTCGTCCGTGGCGATACCAGACAGCCGGTCGCGGAACACTGCATCCTGCCGCAGCCATTCGCCCGAAGAAGACAGTGGCATGCGATCGATACGGCGCATCGGCTCCAGCTGTGAGAGGCGATCCGGGCGGTCGGCCATGAGTGACATCTGACCCGCACCATACATAGACGATGACAGACGTGCGTCAGGATAGGCGCTGGCAGGTGCAGACATGCGACCTTCGCTGAACATGGTGGTGGTAGGCGAGCGCATGCCACTAAAGGACGATGAAGTTGGCGAGCGCATGTCACCGTTCAGCATGGTGGCGCCTGGAGCGGAACCGAAGACGTCCAGCGATGCTGGATGGAACGTGCTCGAGTTGGGAGCCGAGTGAAAGTCACTCTGCATGCGAGGCTGCTGAAGCGAAAGTTGGTGCTGTTGCTGAAGCGACGAGTAAGACGAAGGCAAGTTGGCCGACTGGTGCTGCGAGAACAGGTCTGAGCTCCGAAATAAGTCGCCGCCACCGTTGAGCATGAGACCGTTCGACGATGAGGAGGCAGACATGAAATCGTAGTCAAACGGCGCCTTGAGACCAAAGTCGGTCGTGGCGCGGGCGGGCGAGTCCGAAGGTGTCATAAGCGAGGAAGCGGCTGAGCATGGTGAGAGATCTGGCGACGTGTTTGCCTTGAGCGGATTGTACGGAGCAGTCTGAAGTGGCGCAAGCTGAGGCGGCGGAGCGGGAGAATGCAGGTCGAGTGCACGGAGGAGCGAAGCAACATGCTGTGGCGGAGAACGTGAGCGGGGCGATCAACAGAAACACGTGGACGCATATATACCGAATCTGCGTCACCGCCGGCTGAAGGTCTACGGCCATCGCCAATCGCACCGACTGAACGCTTTGGAGGCAGCTGCGCCTGTTGAATCTGCTGAGGCTGAGGTGGCTGAGACTGCTGAAGTTGGTGCTGCTGGACCGCTGGGTCGGACAGGCGACGCTGATGAGAGTCCTCGTTGAAAACGGTGTTGTTCCAGACGTCGGTTGGCTGCGGGCGGGGAGCCCAGATCGACGTCGGACTTGAGCGTTCTTGGTTGAGAAGCGTGCGGGAGGCCATGACTGCGAACGATAGGAATCAATATTTCACGCGTGAGTCTTAAGTATTTGTCTGGAGCGCGCATCGGGGGCAGATCTGGCTAGAACAGCTTAGCGCCCTCGTGTCTCGCATTCGACGTCGTCCACATCCATCCCCGCCTTTCATCCCTTCCGCCGCCTTCTATTCCTCTTCAATCGCATTTGTTTCACGTCGCCAAAAGTGTATCCTACACTGAACGAAGTACAGAGCTACTCGGCGATGAAAAGCGATATTTTGCAACTTACGGCCAGGAAGGCACCTTACCGCTTTCATGCTGCCCGAGCAGAAGCGTGCTAGCATCCTAGATCTACTCGACACACGCTGCTCTCATCAAGGGCGCAGATCCCAATTAGTGCGCGGGATCGCCGCATAATGGTAACTTGCTCGTGTGTGCATATACACGACAAAAATCGCTCAGCGAGTAGCTGTGGCGCGTTGTGGCGCCGAGACGCAGGGGTGCTCTCTAATGGTACCAGTCGCGCCTGGCTCGTATCTCATGTCCCTCGTAGCTCGCGGCTCTCAGAGCACACCCTCACTCGCCTGTCAAGTACTTGGGAGCACGCGTCATGCGCCCGGGGAGCCTCATGCTCACATCGGGCCACCCGACCGCGAGCTCGTGGGCGACGTGGCTTCAAACGGGGAAAGCCGCAATCCATGTGGAGGCATAAATCAGTTTGTTTGCGTTGAGAGGTGTCGAAGCAAGAGCTTGGAAGCAGTCTGAGCGTCAAAAGGCAGGACAAAGCACAGCCCGAACCGGGAGAAGCGAAGAGAAGGCCTTCCCGGGTGCCGTCGATGCGTTGACGGCCGGGGCGCAGATCGTCCAAACCCGAAATCCGGCAGGTTCTCCTGCAACCAATGTCGCCTCATACTTACATCCTGTCAGACGTCGCACGCGTACTTCAAGTTCGGACTCAGCGACGATGGATTCCTGATGCGTACAGCGCGAAACGTCGGTGAGGCGGGCAATCAATGTCGTTCCTCTTCTGTTCAGTGGACCGCATAACGGCTCGGCCGCCGCACCGTCTCGGTCACCGTCTTCAGGAAGTTGACCTCGGGGATGAGTTAAGCGCTATGCTTCGCCGAGGGCTCGAGATCCCGGGCGAGAAAGATAAAATGAAATGGTTTGTTCCGACCAGGACCCCTACCTGCGCTTTCCATATGCTGTGCTTTCGGCGAAGGTAACTCTTTCACGCATATGTGGAGCGTCGGCAGACCCCATACGAAGGCCACCGCACGTAGTTCCTGAGCGCATGCCCCTCTGTCTGAATCTGATATCGCCACAACTACTTTCCCGCAGCTATCATGATAATGTCATATCTGTGGCTTCTGCAGTGACCCGCAACACGGAAAACCCGACGCGCCTCACCTTTCGGCTAAATTGAGCTTTGAGTACCACTGGCTGCAGGGAGGCAGCGCTCTTCGGCAATGCACGCTGCACGATGTGAAGCTAATTTCTGAATCTATGAGGTCACAACCCGTCCCCAGAACACGCAGTTAAGTCTCGTTTCTAAGCGAGCTCCGTGACTAGAGCAGATGTCGGGAAGTCTCATGCGCTAACTCACAAGCAGCCAAGTACAGCGTACATATCAAGAGAAATTCCGGAATTGTACGTCTTTTCCATCAGACACCCAGCTGCCATCGCTTGAGTCTCGACTCTCGCGTCCATCTTTTTGCAACACATCCCCTCCTCGACCATCCAGTCAGATGCTCAGCTGACGCAGAGATGGGGCGAGGGTGCAGGGCTGTCTCCAATTCTGTAGTCGTTCGTCGAAGGAGCACAGCACGCCCTACTGATGTAGGACAAGCACAAGCAAGTTGGAAGCCCTGTGCTTTGTGGATGCCGTGGAGACAGCCTGTGAAGAACGATCTCATTACAAAGCCTACAAAATGTGGATGGATCATGTGCATTCATCTAGAGCAATAGAGGGCTTGCATAGCCTAAGCAGCGCGCAGATAGACCACGTTTATCGGTCATGCAGGAAGTCCCCGCGCCACTCAAGCCATCTCCTGGGCCACATATCTCACACAAGGCTAGGATGCAGCGTCAAGGTAGAGCACCACAGCATGTGTTGGACCACGGCTGTGGAGAAAGAAGAGAACCTGCGAGGCGCGCGATCGTCAGCTGAGCTTGATTCGTGCTTGTTGGTCGCACCCAAGCAAGCGTCGTACACGTAGACATTGTCCCCAACCTACTCTCGCCCGTGAATTAAACGTCGGTGACCAGCGCCACCGGGCCTTGATGACCAGATGGAGCAGAAATAGAAGAACGAAGAGCAAAAGGTGCGCGCCGCATCCTGCGACGAGCGCGGGGCCCTCAATCTATCCTTTCTCGCCGCCGCCGGGTCCGAGCACAGTCTGTACGCGCCTTCTTCACACACACCGTTCCCACAGGCCTCGAGAGCCGTTCTGTACGGAAAGTGTCGAGTCCGCCAAGGTTCAGAGTAAGCGGTATTGAATTGAATCCATATCTTTCCGGTGGCAGGAGGCCAGGCTCGGTCAATTGAACGGTCATATTGGGCTGTTCTACTGTCGCTCTGCGGGGCACCTGCGCGGTGAAGTCGGTGCGGATGCCTGGGAAGCGGCTGGACAGCCTGGACAGGCGCGTACGTCCGTCATCGAGAGCGTATATCCGAGTACGATCGTGCCGTGAACCAGCCTGTTCAGCACAAGCCGGAGCGCGCGGGGACTCTGACCTCAGGTCAGAAGACCGACCACCGAGAGAGCTGATAAAGCGAAAGAAAAGTCGTACAGAACAAGTGCGCACGGAATAGAGTCGTAAAGCGGCGCAGAATCGAGCCCGTAACGGTCCACCAGGTGCCAGCGGGACCCGCGGCGACCTTGTCGGCGCGTTTAGGCACTGCGGAAGACGCCCGCCACGCGTGTCCGCGCCGACGTTCAAGCTCTCCTGTCCGTAAAGGAGCTAGAAGAGACCGCCGTCGCTATAGGGTTTCATCTCCTCTAGGGACTCCGTAGAGGCGAGCAGCGTCGACGATCTTTGCCGTGAACCTCGGGCATGGCCGGAGACCAGGAGGCACATCGCCGAGGAAGTTGATTTTGTATGTAAGTGGGACGTAGCTCCCATGCGCGACCTGCTGCGCGAGGAGGTCCCGTCGCGAGTGGACGAGGAGGACCACGGAGAACGCCGGTTCAAACCGACGTAGTGTTCTCAAGAACCTGTTGGGCGGCGATCTGTAAACCTGCATCTAAGGTTCGAACACCTGATGGACAGGCGTGTGCTGCGTGCAGGGGTTCAAAGCCGTATGTGATTCCAGTTTCCATTGCAGATCCCATCTAGGGGATATGGTCGGGTGGTCGTACAACAGCGCCGTCGTGGTGATGGGCCAAGAAAGCCCTAGACTTGTTGAGCATCTGTAGGGTCCCTTGTTCAGCAGTTTCTTTCGTACCCTGAAGACAGATCATACGTAGCGAGAGTTTCCCAAAGAAAGACATAGTCATCGCGATGGACTAGAAGCCTGGTGAGCAATCGTTCGCCCGGGAAAGATGAAGCACAGCCAAGCCCATACCTCGCAACCAAGCTAAACGCATATCACTGGTCAACCAAGGACTCAGCGTACCAGAGCAGCGTCTCTCATCCCGAAGACATCAACCGCAGCGGCACAGAGAGGCCGTGAATGATCGTTGAACGTTGAACTCCCGCCGGCATCTGTAGATCTTGAGGTAAGCCCGTACAGAGTGTCTCCCGCGGTTGTCAATACTGCCAGTTCAGATGGTGAGATGTCCGCAACCTCGGGAGAAGACTGCCATGAGCTCGCCGCTCCTCAGAGTTCCTCGAAATTCAGTGTATCATTCGCTACACGCGACCCTGAGCGTGCCCGCCACTGCGGCAACGATTCCGGCGCAGATATGGGCAACATCCGGGCCAGCACGGATAGACCATAGTCTGACTGTAAGCAATCCGATGTGCGGGCACAGATTCTGCCTCGACCGACGACCACGAATACACGCCGCGCGACTGTGTGATTCCATCAGCAGCTGTCGCAGGTTTAAGCGCCGCGAACCCTCACTTCATACTCCGGTTGATGGCTTGCGTCCTACAGTATGGCGCACGGGTAGCCGCAGGGTCCTCCGGGATATGCGCTTTGATACTACATCGTGCGATCTGCAGGAGCGCTGGTCTGGTACATCGGTGTTTGTACTGACGCTAAGACACACGCGGCGAGCCTCGAGGCGAATAGGGATATTGTGCCGCAGTTGCTGGTAATTCGCGCATACAAGCAATCTACAGGGCTCAGCCTTCGCGTGTGTAGTTAGCAGGGGGAAGTGCATGCTCTGGTGAGGCACATACCGGCACCTTGGGATGCCGAGGAGACGCTAGGGCAACTCCAAGTTACAATGAAGACTCCGCTCGGTGTCTGCGGCGAGGTTGTAGGGTCGTGAGCGCGAGGGCCCAGAGGCTTTCCGGCCCGCAGATTTGAAGTACGAACGTTTCGTGAGCGCGGGCGAGCAACTCGAGGGTGAGTGATCGAAAGAGACAGGACGTACTGGCGCGGCGGCCGCAGTCCATACATAGCAGCAATCCCGAAGATTAGCTTCGTCAGTGTCCAAAGAAGGTCGTCGAGACGCGCCTCTACAGAGTTCAGGATCAATAGGCGGGAATGTATTGTCCTGCCTGCATTAGTACAGAGAGATTAGCGCTCTCCCGATGACTGAGCCGATCTGGAGAGGTATCCGCGACCTTGTACCCGTATGAGCCCGCTTCTCTTGTTAGCATTGTGTTGCTTAGATATCATCTAGCGCATATCGCGAGTGAGAGCAGCGTGTATGAGATACGGAAGAACCCTTCCGAGCGCAATGTACCTTGTGGGCGCTCGTTCAGGGACGATTGCGGCCGAGGACGTACACAGCTCCCCACTGAACCCGTTATGGATAGACTCGCTCACGGCTAGGATAGAACAACGGTAAGCCGCAGGATGAGATGGAAGCCTCCAGGCAGGCTGTGCGGCAGTGTGACGCAAGACGGCTTATGCGTATAATTAGCCTGCGTTCGCGCCTTACCGTGGCAGCTTTCGACTGGATACTGCGTAGCGTTTCGAGGAAAAGACGCGCGGAAGCTAGGACAGAGTCCGAAATGTTCCACAGAGCGGTCCAGAGCGACGCGCATTGGTGCCAGGTGCTGCAAGCGACAAATGGCTTGCAGCGTGGCTTACGCCACAAGATCCCCACAAGCCTTGGACGTCGGTTACTGAACACGAAGTCTTCGGCAAACAGGGCATATATTTCGGACTGCAGAGCAAATCAGACTCACATTCAGTCAAAACCTCGTGGCAACCTCGTTCGCGTGGAGTTGTACATGTTTGAGATATCATTGGGGTGTACGACTAATCTGGGGTTTTTGCTATTCGTGAGTATCCGCGGAATGCGGACAACGGAGCGCGCATGAAAGCAAAAAGGATGGGCGTCCCGGCTAGATGTCTAGAAGACGTGTTATCCGGACCAGCTTCCTGAAAGGCGCAAGCCGTTAATACTGCAGTTAGGCGCGACATCGTTACATAAGACATACCGCGTTCATCACCGTCGCCGCGCATCCAGCGACGACGCGTGTAACCTCGAATCGGACCCTACGCAGCACAGTCGACCTATGAGCGAAGAGTGGCACGCGGAGCGTCGGTCTTCAGACCGAGCTCGGTACGAATCGTCGCGGGCTCTTCAAACCTAAGAGGAACGTTCCTCTCGTTCCTTAAGCAATGTTTATGCGACAGCGGCTGTAGCTGAGAACGGGCAGCCACGCCGTGTGTACAGGTGCAGGACTTCTTGCCCCGTATCATGCATTTTTCGTCACTTTTGACGTATACAGGGAGCCTGAGAGGTCGGCAAAAGGGGAGGTATGGGGCGCAGACCTGTTCACGCGGCCGATCTTGCGTCGACACCGTATTCTGGCAGTGTTGCGGCCGCCGATACGACCTTGAGAAGCCGCAGAGAGGTCCGGTTTCAATATCCGAAGTGTTGACGTTGATTTTCCCGGCAGTACGCAGAGCCAGTAGCAGGCAAGCAGGCGTGCTTGGAGGTAATAGGCAGGTAGGCGAACGCGCTCACGGCCGAACATGATGCGCGGCAAGTTGGACGGCATGCAGGTAGTGTATTGGGATGCATACGCTCGTAATGGTAGGATCCTAGGATCAGAGCTTCCGACGAAAGAAGCAGATAGCCGGGCAGTCTGGAGACCCGAGGCCAGTGAATGCAGAGCACGGCTAAACTCAAGCCCACGACAGAGAGCAGTCCCTTGATCTCTGTCGGCCAGTGGCCATGTAGAGAAGCCCGCCTGAGAGGGAGCTGTGCGGCGACCAGCGGGAAGTTCGCTCGAAGGTCTCCCGTGCGGCAACGGTGGACGGAGTCCCTGTTTGGCGAGTGTTGCTCCTTGTCCACGGTCGGCTTCTGCGTGCCCAATCGAGTATCCCTCGAGGCCGTCCGTTGGCCGTTTTAACTCAAAAACCTATTACATGCGCGGGAGAAGGCGATGCGAGAGATGATTGAGGCGGCGCCGCAGGCTCGTCAGAGCATGGACGCCGTTGGTCGAGCGAGCATCATCCCGCCGTAGGACGTATATGTAACGAAAAGGGACGCGAAATGCATTGCCGCGGCGCGTCTGTCCCATACACGCACTAGCGCCTTTGACCGTACGCCGGGTACGGTGACGACGGACAGGTGGGCGAGAACACGAGAAGTACAGATGTCCGGTGCCTCGCCCCGCGCCCCGATGAGGTCCCGAGGGCGTAGGATCTTTGTAGGTCGGGACGAAAGCGAGCAGACCAGGAAAAGCGAAGAGCGACCAAGGATAGGGAGTCGGACGAAGAGAACAGAGATGGTGGCACGACGACCGGTAGCGACCGGTTTGCGGTTGCCGCCGCTGGCCGAGTAAGAAAGCCGCGAGGCACATTGAACCGTGAACGGACGGCCCGATCAGGCAACGGCGTCGGAGTTGTCGCGTCAAGGTTGTGAGCTCTATTCTGCCACATCATATGCATCATCGTCTCGCAAGCGCGCCCTCTCGGCGAACAAAATGGGTATTTCTCTCGCGTGCGCACGGGGCGCCGGCGTGTTGCCTGCGCACGGCGAGGTTGTGTATGGGGTGCCATGTTCTGATCTATTACGCGCGGTTTGCGGCCCTCGCTCGGGTGGGGTGAGGCGGTCTATGTGTGTGCGAGCGATCGAAGGCCGGGGATGTTCTGTTTGGTAGGAGGCGGCGTCTTGGGCTGATGATGATGTCGCCTGTACAGAAGCTGGTCTTTCCAGCTCTCGAAAGGGGTCCGTTTACGTAGATCGAGCGCGGGGGGGCAGGAGGACGTGCGAGCGCGCGGCGCCGAGCGCTTGGGCGGTTCACCGCACATACATATAAAGTCGCGTCGCGTTCGATCCCCGCATCGGTCTTTCCAAACAATGCTCCTCGCTCTCCCGCACGAAGTACTCGAACAGATCGCCCTCGAGCTCGCCGTCCACGACGCCGTCGGCCCGCCCAAAGATTTACCCGCGCTTCTTCTCACGTGCAAGGACTTGTACGCGAAACTCGGCTTGACACACAACAAGCATCTGTACTTCCGCATCTATGCGTCCCAGTTTGACACCACCGCCCATCGGCGCCGCTTTGGTGATCGCGTGCATAACGCTGGTGTCGTAGCCCGTCAGCTGGTACGCGCCTGGACTGCACTCGGCCGCCTCCGCCGCGGCGACCTCGACGCGTCCACCTTGCTCGATGATCTCTGGGAGGCGTTCTGCCTTGTCACCGAGAACGACGGCAAGAACACGTACCAGCTCCAATGGGCCGGCCTACCCGCCTTGTCCGAGCGGTACGTCCGCGAGAAGTTGTGGGAGGGCGCTGTCAACGGCTGGCCGCGCGATACGCCGAGCAACGCGCTCGCGCTTTGGCTATTCTGGTCTACCATGGACGATGCGCGTCTACGCGCGTACACCGAGGATCAAAGGCAGGAACTCATCGATCAGATTCTTCCCTTCGTCGTCGTCGGCTTCAAGGTACGCGTATATCCTCATTCGTCCTCTAACGCCCCTAACACCACTCCAGTACACCAACTTTTACGCGCCCGACGTCACATACCTGCTCCCTCTCACTCCCGGCGTACAAGCCGATCTACTCGTGTCTCAGGTCAATGCCCACGGCCCATACCCGGTCTTCCACACGGTCGAGGAGGAGCCCTACCGTACGAACCGCTTCGGCGTCAACCTGCTCATCGTCATGCCGAACATCGCAGCCGCGGCGAAGTTGCTGTACTTCGCTCTTCGCGAGACAGTCCCCATCCAGGTGCCCGACTTCCTCCCCGTTGACCGTGCAGAGGCTCTTACGCGCGGCCAACGTGGTCAGACGCAGGCAGACCTGCACGAGGTCAACGCGCATCGCAGCACGCCGTTCACCCCCCGCGGTCTTTGGAACTTCCTTGAGACTCTGTCTCCGTTCCAGCGCGGACGCGAATTAGAAGGTGTGCGCTCTCGCGACCTGATCGCGCCGAGCGCGGCCTGGGACGATGACTGGGAGCGGTCCATGACGTGCTGGAACCCGTGGTCGCAGCCCTACTACAAAGGCCCCGTATTCACACTCGGCTCACTTGTCGGTCTTTGGCAAGGGCGCTTGCTTATCCCGGACGTCGGTGGCTACCTCAACCTCGTTACAACCGCCCAGCGTCCCGAGGAGTTCGGCGAGAGCGCGCCGTTCATGAGCACCTGGCCTGCCTTCATGCGTCTTAGTGAACACCACGCGATTGCACCGGCGCCCAAGGTCCCCTTCCCCGTCAATCGCGATGATGCGCTTGATCACGGCATCTGGAACGCATGGATGCCGACCAAGTCTCGTATCTCGCACGACCGAGACTCTGTGACCGTCATCGACGATTCGGACGGCTCGCGGTACGTCCAGGAAACGTTCGTCGAGGGAAAACCCAACTCGCACGATCCGGATACGTGCCCAATGTGCAAGCGCCGTGCAGCCGTGGAGGCAGACGATGGCAACAGTCATGCGTCCATGTCGGAGGACGAGGCTGCAAGCGGCAGCGAGAGTGGGAGCGAGGGTGGGAGTGAGGGCGAAGAGGCTCCTTGCGCCTGCGGCCATCATCACGGGCAAACCCATGCGGATCTCGAGGACGACTTCGCTGCCGCAGGTCTTGGCCGCGACCAGCCTGATGACGACGATGAAGAAAACGAGTCCCTAGAACCTACGTCGACATGCTCGGGTGTTCATGACATTATTCTTACTGGCGAGGTGAGCACGCCTGCTGTTGACCGCGTTGTGTACGCGCTGATCGTTTATACAGACAGACGATAATCATGGACTTGCATGGGGGCACTTCACCATCTTTGGTCGCGTTCGCGCCTGGGATGGTCTTGTCGCTCTCGTGCGGGCTCCCGCCGAGCCCGGACGCCCACGCTGGGTTTTTCGCGGTTATCTGCACTACGGTCAGGCGTTCGTCGGTGCATGGCGCGGTATGACCAACATCCCGGGTCAGGCGCGCGCTGTGCCTTGGGAGGGGCCGTTCGTCCTGAATCGTCGCGCTGAGCCCACGTCGGCGTAGTGGCTCCCAGCTGTTGCTGCTGGCACGATCCTCCATGCTGATATCGCTCGTTACTTCAATTTTGATGGACGTTCTACCTGCCACATACCCCTAAAACCTGTACGCCATCATTTCATTCCAGGCCTCGTCCCATACACGCGTGGCCCGTTCCATTCGATGATATACTCTATCTAAGTTCCTTACATTGTCTCCAGTGTTTTGCTCGCTGTCCTGCTCTTGCGCGCGTCTACATCTTCCTCCGGATACCTCTCATCACCCCATGGACTCTCATCGCATACTTCCATCGCCGCTCCCGCACATCCACATCGCTCCTGTATCTGTAGTACCATAACGAATGCTCATGCGCTCATGCCAGTAGCTCATCACTTTGCGATTCTTGGCGAAGGCGGTAGCAGCCCATCGGTAAGTACGGCGGGATCTTCCGGCGGCTCATGAGCTTGTTCTACTTCGACGTTCCGCAACGTTGCGTGTTTGATGATCTCTACGCACAATTCTATCGCTTCCAGGCTGGCTTCTCCCAGGTACTAGGGCACGGAACCTGACGGCCCAGTCGCAAAACCCTCTCACTTTCGCTGATCATGGTCCAGGCATGAGATCGTCTTGCGCACTATACCGCCGTCGCTGCCATCGACACCGCCAGACGCGGTGACCAACGGATAATCGAGTGACCAGCACTGCACGACAAAGCTCCCGAATTCCGATATCTCCAACTCCGACTCACGGTGCATCGCAATCACTTCGCAATCCCACCTCCCCGCGCCGCTCAATCCCTTACAAGGGCGAACATTCACGCACGGCGCTCTCATGCGACCGCAAAAGTACACAGGCGGGTTGATCGAATGCCGGGGCGCGGGCGCGCCCGCTGTTCAAACTCCGCTTGTACGTACGGATTGCGTTGCTGTTGGCGGGCAGGCGCAGATGTGATGCGCTGCGGTTGTGATCTCTAGGCGCGTCGGGGACGGGCACGCCGCGGACGCGGACGCGGGATCTCAAGCTTTCGACTCGCACCTTCATCACGGTGATAGCGGTCATGAACGGACCAGTTCATACGTGTAGTCCTCATGATCGAGCTGGATTCTTGGAGTTAGTCAAGGCTCAACGATCGGGGTTCATCGTTCAGCAGCTATGGGTAGGTGTAAACGGGCGCAAAGAACCTGAACCTTGTACATAGAGGGTGGAGTCTGGACGCGGAAGGCGCACGTCTTGCATTGCAGCTGTAGTCCCCATCCGAGGTAGTATATGGGCAAAGTTGATCATACTGCCTTTAATCCAACACAGGCCTCTTGTCAGCCTTGAACGGCAATACTCACTGCACGTACATCCCGCTTTCATCTCCTTATTTAAGAATCCCGAATCGAGTCGCCAGCGCCGTTAATCTCGCCAACGCGTCAAACCTTGCACATTTTGACCGACCATTTTCCCTCTGACGCCGCTTCCGCCTGCTTCTTGCATCGCAACTCCGACTGCCGTCGGCCAAGTGTCAAATATACTGCTCTCGGCTCCCTCCACGATGATCTGGCAGCCCTCGACAATGGCAATAAACGATGGAGCCCATCGAGATCGCTGCAGCGGATGAAGGTCTCGCGAGTGAAAGTGCTTTCACGTTGTACTCCGACGATTTACGGCCGCCACACCGATTGGCGGGAGGCGGCAAGTAGTATATTGCGCTCCCTGCGTCAAGGGGATGAGCAACGTCGGGGCGCGAGGAGCGCGTACCTCACAGCCACGCATATACGTGGCGCGCGCAGCTGACGATGACCTTCGGCGTGAACCGGATGATCTGCGCCTCATGCTCACTGCCTGGCGGTCTCGTGCGAGCGGAAATCAAGAAGGCGAATTTGGGCGTCGGCGTCATATCCCCTCGAATGCAATAATATCATACCAAGCTGTCTTCTCCTGTGCCACGCCCGTCTGCATCTTCTAATGGGACGGCTGTTCAACGAATTGGCCCGCAACGCCGAGCTAGCGATAGTCGGGAGTCTTGCGACAATCGCTAACTCTTACATACAGTGGTGAGCGCGTTACACCCATAGGCGCGTTGTACTCACATCGACTCCGCATCCAACATGTGACCCAGCTTTACTCGAGGCACAACTCGTCTGTAGCAAGGTCTTCTGGAACTCATAGCAGTGTCTCCTTTCGCCAGGGTCGAAATGCTTGCGTCCATATCCATTGAGACATGTTGCACCGACCTGATTGCTATTGTCGGTTTTCTATCTCCCTGATTTCACGTACTGTGGGGGGATGTGACCATCCGCTGGGGTATTCAAGTACGTCGATCGATAAGAACGGCCAGTATCATCTGGTTGAGGAGGACAAAGCAACGTGTGAATCGTGTGGCACATCGCCTGATGTGGTTGCCCGAGCTCTGACCGTGTGGCGGCTGAGACCGTTTTGCCCGGACCACGCCGCGACGTGTGGTGGGCGGTCTGCGTATATAATGGTACAGCTGGACGCTGTACTCGTTGATTCCGCCGCCCATCATCTCACCTGCTGAGTATGCACAATGGCTGCCACTCACTACCTTCCACCTGTGCTGCTGGGTACTGTCGTGGCGCTTTACTATCCGTCGGGCGAGGTTCTCTGGACTATCGGGAAAGTGCTTCTGCTACTCGTGCTGTTGCAAAGCATCTCCGAAGGTACGTGATTCGTCTCCAGGCATAGAATCGCAAGCTCACCAAGCCTGGCAGAAAAAGCAGCAGAACAAGACAAGATCGCGAGCGCCGAGAGCATCACCACCGAGCCCGTTTTGAGTTTACTTGACGAGAAACGGCATGGTGCAGTGGTGCTTGCAACAGTAGCTAGCGTCCTTGACGTGTCTTCTCGTCGATGATGATGGGGTCGGTACAGCAACATCACATGTATGTAGCCTAGACCCCGCTGACTGCCACGCTTACGCCTCATTACAGTCACGCGCAACATAAGTTACCACACGCCTCGACCTCCTCTCTTCAATACCATGCCAGCCACCAATAGGCTCGAGCGCTACCCCTTCCCTCTCAGTTTCTTCATCATATCAATCGGACACGACGGTCTGTAAACGAACTTTATGCCCAAGCTCTCATCATCGCACTGTAACTTGACCAATGCCTCTGTGTACACTCTTTCACGTCCCCACACTCTATGTATATCTAGATCGTATCCGTATCCGTAACAACCTGTCGTATTGAATCTAACACCACTGTTCCGCGTCTGTGCGAGTCTAATATCTGCTGTTGATAAGAAGAGTGCAGAGGTGTCGTCGAGACTACTTGATCACTTCATACGGCCATAGCCAAGTATTCCCCGTAAGATACTGGGTTTTTGTCAGTGTCAGTTCAAATGGGATGCGAGTGAAACTTTGAGTGTGCTAGAAGCAAGATGACACCGGTGAGGTTCGAACCGCGACTCCTGGGAATGCAGCCGTCCGCGTTGCACACGGTCTGGCTCTGACCGCCATCGCGCACGCCTCTCCTGGCGCGCAGTTCAAATATCTCTCGACGCTCTTCCGGGACACGTACGGCGGCTGAACTGTATTGATGTACTAAACGCGGAGGTCACTCCTGTTGGACGATGGTGTGATTGGCCGGGAGCAGCCAGGAGCATTCGAGTTCTCAGAAAAGAGCGTTGCGCTTCACCACGCGCTCTACGTTTCATGGTTCATCGCCGGGCGCTGGACGCCACACATCGCTGCTCACGGGCAGCACGGGACAGAGCCTCACGAGCCACGCTGCTAGTAGCTACATCGTGATCCACAGACCTCGTCGTGATGGTCCACATCATCTCTTGCCACTGAACTCGAAGCAAGGACATACCGACCGACGAATCAGCTTGGTGTGCTGCGCGCTCGTCTACTGCTATATATAAGTGCCTGCCATGACCCGTACTCTCTAGTCTTCGTTTCTCTTCCTCCCTTCGTGTTTCTGCTTACTCTAATCTATTGCATACCGTGCGCTTCTCTTCAATCTGCTTCGCTAGTTTCGCTTCATTCATCTCTGCTATCTCTGCTGTTCCTACATTGAATCCGCTTAGCCCGGAGAAACCCTTCGGTGCACTGTATTGTGCATACAATCACATTTCGGGCGAGTGTACATGCACTGACTTTCGTCCAGTCATCACCAACAGTCTCGACGAGAACTTTGTCGTAGCCGCCCAAATCGGAGAGGACGGTATCGCGGTCAGTGCCAGAGTACATCTACGACTGTTCTTGTAACTGATTGATAGTTGATAGAGCGATGTCAAGGCTATCTCGGCTAACGGTGTTGGTGCGCAAGGTCAGCCCGCCAAACCCGGCGCACTGTTCTCGCAGGGCCCGGTCCAGGTCAATCAGGCGACGAATAGGCTTGCATTCGTCAACGCGGGCTCGAACACTGTACAGCTGTTTGACATCAATCCCAAGATGCCAACAAACATCACGGCTATCGGTAAACCTGTTCCCTCTGGTGGCGACTTTCCACAATCGATTGCGTGGAACAATGCCGGCGACAAGATGTGCGTACTCAATGGTGGGCTGAAGTCCAATGTTCAGTATGTGTTCTCTCTCGCAGTATATTGTGAACCTCGCTCACCTTGCATAGATGCTTCCTAGTCGATAGCAAAGGTAAGCTCTCGGCGGTAGGGGTTGGCGGCATCCAGACCTACGATCAGACCTCTAACCCTCCTCACGGT